AGAGATATTTTATTTCTTACTTCATAATGGCCATCGAAAAGCCACGAAGCCACCGCTGCTGAGATCCCGAGTTCAAGACTTGCCCAAGATGGTTGCAGGGTGTGCGTCTTTTTGTTACACCAACAAAAATGAAAGCATAATTGTCCAATCAGTGTCGCATTCTGAGGCAAATAATTATCCATTGGGAATTTATCCAAGGGATCAGTGCGTTAACCCTGTGTCAGAATAATGCTGGAAGACGGCATTACAGCACCATAGGCACAAACTCGGGACAGACCTTTAAAATGCCCTGAAAAAAAGTGTTCCGTGTCAACCGGTGCAATATTATATTTCTTGGAGCTTGAATAAGCCCAATTGAGTGAAAATACAAAAATGTGGTGCAGTTATTGGTGACTGGGTTAGACCGTAAACTCAATACACTTGATTACAGGCTTTAATCACGGGTTGCCTATCAAGGAGATTCATAATGGCCAGCACTATCGAGAATCTGGGTTTGAGTCCTGGATGAGGTGTCTCTCAGAGGGTTCACAAATGGCCACTGTGAAAGGTCGCTGTAGAATGGGACATTAAAACTGCCTGGCCAAATTACCGAGAATGTGCCCAAATCTCGTCAGAGAGTTGTGGAAGCTAAGCAGGCTTGAGCCTGGATTGTTGATGGGATGGGCGACCAGCAAACGTAAAACATCCTCCCTCCATGTATCTGTGTCTTCCACAGAATATTTTTTTACACACCCTATCAGCAACAAGGCCTTCTTGGGAGTGCACAACATTTCGGCAGCATCAGTTCAATACGAGCAATAACCCTTTCCCTCTGTTAGAAGTGGGCCCCAAGTTGGACGCCAAAATCTCCCTTCGCACAGATGGTGCAGCAGTGCAGTTAGTGCGGCAGCAGAGGGCAGTGCAGTCTTGCAAATGTGACCAGCGTGGTGAAGTATGGCGCAGTGACCCCCACCCCAGGAGCCGCACAGAGGTGGAGGGGAGGCAACCATCCATCATGCACTGAGCTCACGGTACAACTCAACGCAGCGTTACTCAAAATCTGCTTCGGACACCAATGTCTCGAACTGTAACAGCCTCACTTCGGTATAAACTACACTATACACTACACTACTATTCACTACACTAAGCACTACACTACCATACACTACACGATACACTACTATACACTACACTATGCACTACACTACTATATACTGTTATACACTACGCTACTGTACACGTCACTACACTGCACTACCATACACTACAATATACACTCCGATACACTACATTATACACTACTATACGCTACACTACGCACTACACTCTACACTGCACCGTCACAGCCTCACGTCGGTTCTCTGCTGTCGCCCCCTCGGTGTGTAACTCTCTATATCCCTTGTTGCACTCCAACTACTTTCAAGGAACATCTTAAAGGCCTCTCTCTATCGGTGTTGGTCTCAGGGCTTTTGAGCGGCCCTGAAGCTTCGCTCCGCGCCACCAAGTTTGTTGACTCGTCTGCAAAATCTGGCGAATTATAAATGTCATCATTATTCTTAAAGGGGGCTGTACAAGTTTGTATGCAGCTCATTCACAATTAGCTCACACGTGTCATCACAAGTGTCATCACAGAGTGTCATCACACGTGGAATCACAGTGTCATCACACGTGGCATCACAATTGGCTCACAAGTGTCATCACACAGTGTCATCACACAGTGTCATCACAATTGGCTCACACGTGTCATCACACAGTGTCATCACAGTGTCATCACAATTGGCTCACACGTGTCATCACACTGTCATCACACGTGTCATCACAATTGGCTCACACGTGTCATCACAGTGTCATCACATGGCATCACAGTGTAATCGCCGACTTGTAAACAGGCGCGGTTCGTCCACTAGGGGGCGTTGGGGCACCGCACCAACAAGCGGCTGGAGATGAGATTATTTTTATAATTAAAAAAAATACTTTTCTGTAAATAGGTTTGTTGAATTAAAAATTCTTAAAAATATATAATTCTTTCAACGTGAATTGCCGAATTAATATAACAGTTAAAGCTGTTCGTATTCGAAACCACTGTAACGCTGTGAAGGCGTCTTCCGAGTGAGAGATTTCCTCTCCATTGCGATCAGCTTTGCATTTTAGGGTCCGTACATATGACGTCACGCGATTTTGGACATTTTTGACTCCCCCCTCGTGACACGGCGTCACAAAAAGTCAGACCCCCCCCCCACCTCAAATATGACGTCACAAAGCTCTGCCCCCCCCCCCCCCCCCAATTAAACATGCTTCAAATCGCTTTAAACTATTGTCACTGTAGTGCGTATTTACTGTGGCGCTGCACTCTGATGTTGTAGGAAAAACATTTATTAAAAAGTCTATTTAATTAAGTAGAACATGTTGTCTATCTTTATTTAAAGTTGCGCATTTTGATGTGACGTCACATTTCTCAAACCCCCCTCCCCAGGTGCGTGACGTAATTTACGTACGGCCCCTTAGCGAAGTATCGTCATACACGGGGAGGCATTGGGATGCTATTTGGATGCTTCTAGAGCAGTGGCTCTTAACTTTTGGTGCATCACGCATCCCCTGGGGGGTACGAGACATGGCCAGATTTTTTTTTTAGACGATAAATAATCGAAAACACAAATTAAGCACGGACACGTAAGTACAACTACTTTGTTTCATGAAAGCCTTCTGTATTTGTTAACATTTTCCACGTTTTAACGATTGAGAACCAAAGGGGTGCAAGGCTTCGGTAAATGTTAAGAACCACTTCTCTAGATGATACCCACGTGCCTCAAGTCATTATTCGGTCCTGCATACGCATCTCACGCGTTTTCACGAACTGTGCTTTGTTGTGGTACTCCGTGTTGGAGCTTGCACTTCAACACTCCCCCTACCCCACACCCCCACCCTCTCTATCTCTCCTCCCTGCCGCCCCTCCTCTCTTACTTATAGAGCCTCTTGTTACAAGCAGAGCCCCCCTTTTGCCCACTTCAGCAATAGTTTCTTGCTGTGGTTGTCCCACCTGATGACAGGCGCTTGTGTTGCGCCCGAAACGTCGTGGTTTATTTTATTTTATACCTACCACGTGACTTTACCGAAAGAGCCAAAGAGTATGGATCCCTGCAGTCACGAAAACTTCAAATCTAGATTGTGCTTTATTCCATACATTATCGATCATTATTTATTATAACGCAATTTCTCCATGATGCGGTGTTCTTCAGGAACGCAACTACTGCACTAGAGGAGAGCAGACTGTACAGCATGCAGGGACTTCTCTACTTACGAACATTCGACTTACGAACTTTCAGAGATACGAACAAACCTGTCCATATGTCTAGTTGCTTGCTTGGATGGAGAGTCGTAAGTTCAACCACCACGCAATAGATGGCGGTGGTGGCATCTACATCTGCAGAACGTGAAAAACCAGTGGCATCTGCATCTGGAGAACGTAAAGAACCAGCGGCATCTACATCTGCAGAACATTAAGAACCAGCGGCATCTACATCTGCAGAACGTGAAGAACCAGTGGCATCTAAATCTGCAGAACGTGAAGAACCAGTGGCATCTAAATCTGCAGAACGTGAAGAACCAGTGGCATCTACATCTGCAGAACGTGAAGAACCAGTGGCATCTACATCTGCAGAACGTGAAGAACCAGTGGCATCTACATCTGCAGAACGTGAAGAACCTGTGGCATCTACATCTGCAGAACGTGAAGAACCAGTGGCATCTACATCTGCAGAACGTGAAGAACCAGCGGCATCAACATCTGCAGAACGTGAAGAACCAGTGGCATCTACATCTGCAGAACGTGAAGAACCAGCGGCATCAACATCTGCAGAACGTGAAGAACCAGTGGCATCTACATCTGCAGAACGTGAAGGACCAGTGGCATCTACATCTGCAGAACGTTAAGAACCAGCGGCATTTACATCTACAGAACAGGAAGAATCAGTGGCATCTACATCTACAGAACGTTAAGAACCAGTGGTATCTACATCTGCAGAACGTTAAGAACCAGCGGCATCTTCATCTGCAGAACGTTAAGAACCAGCGGCATTTACATCTGCAGAACGTGAAGAACCAGTGGCATCTACATCTGCAGAACGTGAAGAACCAGTGGCATCTACATCTGCAGAACGTTAAGAACCAGCGGCATTTACATCTCAACTTTTAAAACCATGCATGTTTTTAGTGAACACGCCGTACAACATGTTTGGAATTGACAGGAGTAAATTTGGGACTATTAAACAAATCTATTTACGAACAGATCTCTGGAACCCGTACCTGTCAACCCCTTATCAGTGCCCTTCCTTATTACAGACCAATTCAGACCTTATTGGTTACCCCGTGCCCTTATAAATCACAACGTTCACCCTACAAAGTCCCATCACAAGGAGATAAACACAAACAAATAGACAATTTTTTGTTACCCATATTTAAACGTCTGTACGCCGTATGGACCTGAAAACTCGATTTCCCTGCTGTACAAGAATTCGGGTGGGTAAACCGTATTGGTTGTGACAGGTATACACTTGGCGTGCAGTAGCAATACAAATACAATAGAGTTGCACGGAAAGTTTCTGGGAACCGAACTCGTTCGTAAGTGTGTGAGCACTCGCTGCACATATCCCACAACGTATAAGTACGCGGGGGTGTAGATTCCACAGTGCGCACTGGCAGCATCGGCCAATGGGGGCGACGGGGCCGGGCGGGGTGGCGGGCGGGGCGAGCCGGGGGCGGGGCGAACCGGAGGCGGGGCGAGCCGGGGGCGGGGCGACCCGGGGGCGGGACACGCCGGGAGGCGGGGCGGACTGGGGGCGGGGCGGATCGGGGGGGTTGGGGCGGAGCGGGGGGCGGGGTGGACCGGTAGGCGGGGTGGACCGGGGGGGCGGGGTGGACCGGGGGGCGGGGCGGACCGGGGGGCGGGGCAGACCGGGAGGCGGGGCAGATCGGGGGGCGGGCTGTGGCGCTCCGGGGGGCGGGGCGAATGGGGTGTTCCAACCACGTGGCGCGCCGCGGGGTCAGCGGGGTCACGGTGAAGGAGACGGCGAGTGGAGCCATGGCGGCTGCAGACGCGCGTGTTCATCTGTTCGCCGGCGGGTAACCACTCGTGAAACACTCGTCACTCACTCGTGAAACACTCGTCACTCACCAACCACTCACCAACCACTCACTAACCACTCGTCACTCACTCACCAACCACTCGTCACTCACTCACCAACCACTCACCAACCACTCGTCAAACACTCGTCACTCACTCGTGAAACACTCGTCACTCACCAAACACTCACCAACCACTCGTCACTCACCAAACACTCACCAACCACTCACCAACCACTCGTCACTCACTCGTCACTCACTCGTGAAACACTCGTCACTCACCAAACACTCACCAACCACTCACCAACCACTCGTCACTCACTCACCAACCACTCACCAACCACTCGTCACTCACTCGTGAAACACTCGTCACTCACCAAACACTCACCAACCACTCACCAACCACTCGTCACTCACTCGTCACTCACTCACCAACCACTCGTCACTCACTCACCAACCACTCACTACCCACTCACCAACCACTCACCAACCACTCACCACCCACTCACCAATGGAGCAGCGTCCTCGCGTTGTCTCGCCGCTAGCCGCTGCACGTGTGCGGACTCCGTAGCCAACGTCTCCCCGTGGGTCGACTCGGGCCTGCAGCTTGCCCGTTAAGCATCAGCACTGGGGGAGACAAAGGCGGCCGGGCGGTGTGGTTTGTTTTGCCTCGCCACACCAAAGACAAAGATCCCCCGTGTAACCTTAACAGACTGTAGGGGCAAGTGCTGTTAGCGAGCTGCTATGAAGGCCGGAACGGTACACGAGGGGGTGGGCGGCCAGCACCACGCCCGGCCGCCTTTGTCTCTCCAGTGGCGATGTTTACACATCGCACCAGGTACTCTGTTGAGGCTGAGTCGACCTAGGGGATGCGCAGGACCGGTTCGGATATCATCGTCACTGGTGTTGGTGGCCGTGAGCGGGAATCGAACCCGGCTCGCCGGGTTCGTCGCGCAACTTAGCGCTGACCGGTACACCATGGCTGGCCACACCACCACCATCGTTAGCCACACCACCACCATCGCTGGCCACACCACCACCACCGTCGCTGGCCACACCATCACCACCATCGTTGGCCACCACCACCACCATCGCTGGCCACACCACCATCGCTGGCCACACCACCACCATCGACAGCACCGCTCTCCGTGTGCCCCAGCGCGGCCTTCATAGGCGCTGCTGCTGCTGCTCACTCCTAACAGCATTTTAGCACCAGCAGCCCCTGTGAACGTTTAATAACTTGTGGCATTGAAGATAAAGAAGTTGCTTAAGTACACCTGCCAGCCCTCGTGTCAACGCCACTGCTGGATGAAGGCCACCTCACGCAGTGTCAGTCATTGGCGGGAGGCGGGGCGGGATTGTTTGACCATACTTCACCACGTTGAAGTGAACTCATTTACTCTGCAACACACGCCAAGCGGTGTAGCTGTACTCGTAACGAATTTGCCACGTGCTGTTGTTTACGGTGACGCAAACCTTACCGATTGGCTGTGGTCGGGTGGTGGCGGGTTTCACGACACATTTTTATTCACACCATCTAACCGCCCAAAAAACCCCCACCTATGCATGATATTGTTGGCGAAAGCCCTAATACTGCCACGTGTTAAACTGGCTCAAAGCTGCGCTTAGCTTCTGAGATCTTGACGACATCGCGAGCAACAATCCCAGAGTTCAGTTACAATCCGTCGACCTCTCTGCCGTGATGAACCCCAACCTGGACGGGCGGTTCGCTGTGCCTGGCGATTAACACGCAGCGGCTGCGGCAGCGACCAGTCATTGCCCAAAATAGAGGTTTTGTGGGTATTTTTTTTTTTGGGGGGGGGGGGGGGATTAGATCACGTGAACATAAATGTGTCGTTAAAACCCGACGCCACCCCGACACAAAGCCAATTCGTAAAGGTTCGTGTCACCTAAACGGAACGTGTCAATTCCTTGCTAGTACAGCACACACCGGTTGTGTGTGGGCGAGTGGACTCACTCGAATTGGCCGTGCCAGGCGTTGTTTATAGGTGCTCGCAAACGGCACTCCGTCCCTCCCTCCCCCTACGAAATGATGCGAAATAACCTTTTTTCAACTCTGTTGTTCATATTCTTAGTTCTCTCGGTAAAGTCACGTTGAAGGGAAATAACAAAATAATGAAATATATATAAAACAATAAAAATTCTCACGACGTTTCGACCATAACACAAACGGTCGTCTTCAGGTGTGTTGGTTTGCATAAATTTATTTTTAAACGGTGCATTTATTTATAAATAAATAAATGTATCGGTTAAATAAATAAATAAATGCACCGTTTAAAAATAAATTTATAAATACATAAATGCACCGTTCAAAAATAAATTTATGCAAACCAACACACCTGAAGACGACCGTTTGAGTTATGGTCGAAACGTCGTGAGAATTTTTATTGTTTTATATATATTTTATTATTTTGTTGTTTCCCTTCAACGTGACTTTACCGAAAGAACTAAGAATATGAATTACTGCAGTCACGAAAGCTTTAAATCAAAATTTAACTCTGTTGTTGTCGTGTCCTCAAATCTTCTAACTCAATTTTTACCCACTTTCCAATCAATGTGGTATCGACTGCAAACTTGGTATACTTATATCTTACTGATGACAATACTATATTCTATCATAAAAATTAAAATATATATTTTTTTAAGCAATCTTTTTTTACATGTTATGTTTCGGCTTTGGTCTAATTGTCCACGCTCAACTGACGTTGGCTGTAAATCACCACGGCCCCCTTACGTTGTGGCGAGCTTCGGGGCCACTTCCTGGAGTCGTGGAGTTCTTACATAACTCGTACGGTACATTTCATTAAAGCGTGTTTTTATTGTTTTCTTAAATATGACTTATTTTAAAACAGTGGTTCTCTTACCTTTCATTGCAGCATAACACCACCCTTGGGTTCTCAATCGTTAAAACAATGTGTAATATTATATTCTTGGTTCTTTCGGTAAAGTCACGTAGAAGGGAAACAATGAAATAATAAAACAACAAAAACAATATTATTTATTTTATTATTTTATTGTTTCCCTTCTACGTGACTTTACCGAAAGAACCAAGAAGGTGAATCCCTGCAGTCACGAAAGCTTTAAATCTAAATTTAACGCGTAATATTAAAGGGTTTAATGAAACAAAGTTGTACTCTATACTCTTTGGTTCTATTCGGTAAAGTCACGTAGGTAAAAAATAAAACAACAAAAAATCACGACGTTTCGGCCACAACACAAGCGGCCTTCATCAGGTGAAGGGATCAGGCTGTCTCGAGGACAGCGCTGGAGTGAAACACAGCCACGCTCAGACCGCGACCTTTAAGCTTAAAGGTCGCGTGGCTGTGTTTCACTCCAGCGCTGTCCTCGAGACAGCTTAAAGGTCGCGTGGCTGTGTTTCACTCCAGCGCTGTCCTCGAGACAGCCTGATCCCTTCACCTGATGAAGGCCGCTTGTGTTGTGGCCGAAATGTCGTGATTTTTTGTTGTTTTATTTTTTACCTACGTGACTTTACCGAATAGAACCCAGTCACGAAAGCTTTAAATCTAGAAAAGTTGTACTCACTTGCCCATGGCCCAATTTGTGTTTTCGATGATTGACCTTCTAAAAAAAAAATCTGGCCATGTCCTGCACCCTCCAGTAAGGGCATCATGCACCCCCCCCCCCCCCCCCCCCCCCCAGGCTAAGAGCCACACTGCTTTACTCTAAATGTCAAAAGTCTCCACATTACATTTGACGCGCGTCACGTGATGACGCTGCACATTCTCTGCACGGGTTTGTTTTTAATTAAATAATATTCTTGTTATGTAAGCCATCGCGTAACTCTCATTCATTCTTGCGCGAGGTTATACATGACCTTGACAACGTTTCCCGGAAACCCACACTTATCGTTCAGCAGCGCTATGTCCACTGCCGAGTCGATGGCACTCGCATGCAATGGAGATCGGTGTTTAGATGTCCTCCCAATACATTCGAATTTTTTATACAGAAATAAAATAAATCAGAAAATAAGGCTTGGAGATGATCAACATTATAGTTGTCGGGTGATTATGCGTCTGTAGTTTTGTTTAATTGAGAACTTGCACAGTTGCCCTCTTTCGTATGCCTGACGTTGATGGAGAACAGCAACCGGAAGTTTACATTGAGGTGGCGACCGATCCGGATAACCGGAATCGGTCGTGGTACTTTAGCGTGGGGAAGGGCAGGGGGTACCTTCACCCCCCCCACACCCCCCCCCCCCCAGCCCTGGTGGCCACAGCTACGAGCTTCCCCTTGACAAGAACACAAACGCTTATTTAAAATCGCGGTCTAAATGTTTTCACGACAGTGCTTTCATTTACGTTCCACGTTGTATTTTAATGTCGTGAGAGGAGCGGCGTAACGTTGCGAAGAGTCGCTGTGCTACGCAGCTGTCGGTGGCTCCACTTTGCGAAGACGAGGGAGCGCCCCTGCAGTGCTAAATGTTCGTAACGTCGATGTGATTTTGATTCGAAGCTTTCGTGACTGCAGTGATTCATATTCTTGGTTCTTTCGGTAAAAGTCACGTTGAAGGGAAAACAATAAAATAGTAAATATGTATAAAACACGATAAAATTCTCGCGACGTTTCGACCGTAACACAAGCGGTCATCGTCAGGTGTGAAAAGCAACGGCAAGAAACATTTGAGACCGCCACTTCTTTCAAATGTTTCTTGCCGTTGGTTTTCACACCTGATGATGACTGTTTGTGTTACAGTCGAAGCGTCGTGAGAATTTTATTGTTTTATATATTTTTTATTATTTTATTGTTTCCCTTCAACGTGACTTTACCGAAAGAACCAAGAATATAACGTCGATGTGATTATCAGGCAAGAGGAGCCGCCGATATGCGATAGCCTCGGTGCGACCGTACCAGACGAAATCAAATATTGGGATCCCACCTGACCGATTGCCGCACCTCCATACCTGTTAACCCCTTATCAGTGCCCTACCTTATTGCAGATCAAATCAGACCTTATTCGTCACCCCGCGTCCCTTATAAAGCTCAACGTTCATCCTACAAAGTGCCATCGCAAGCGAGAAACGCAAACAAATAGACAAAAATAAATGTTTTCCCGTAGTGAAAACGGCTGTACGCCGTATGGACCTGAAAGTTCAATTTCCCTGTACAAGAATACGGGGTGGGCAAACCGTGTGGGTTGACAGCTATGGGCACGCACCCCCTTAGCTGATAATGTCGTTACTACGCCACTGACTGGAAGCGATGATAGCGGCGTTGCGTCTCTGCTTTTACCTTCCAACACTGATGGTCATGCTGTAGCGGGTGGCGTCACTTTTGTACGCACGCAGGCAGGCAGGCGATTATATACGTCAGGTAATTGAGCCGAAATTCTAGGAAAATAGATGTGAAAGATGTGTGTGTGTGTGTCAGAGTCCTCCCCTAAGTCGACGCGGCCTCAAATGACCACCTGGTGCGGTGTGTAAACAGGGGCGGAGCCAGGGGGGGGTGACAGGGGTGACATTCTGCGTGTAAGTGTACGACACTCGGTCTGGCGGACTCCGTTGCAACTGCATTGTCAGGGTGTGTCGCAAACCGATGGCGTCTGACTCAACAGCCCGACTCTCTAAATCATTCTTGAAATTAACATTTGTTGAATGTTACCCCGGGCTGAAATCCTGGCTCCGCCCCTGCGTGTAAACATCGCCACCGGAGAGACAGAGGCGGTCGGATGTGGTGCTGGCCACCCATCCCCTCGTGTGCCGTGCTGGCCTTGATCAGTGCTGCTCGCTAACGGCACTGTTAGAGGCTATACGGGGGGATCGTGGTGGCTAGGGGATGTTAGCGTATCTCACCTGGTATACAGGAGGTCGTGGGTTCGCTCCTGACCCCGACGCCTGCTGCTCTATATGTGGAGTTTGCGTGCCTCTCTCCCCGTAGCCGCGTGGATTTTTCTCCGTGGCCTCCAGTTTTTTGCCTCCACATTTAGAAACACGCGTTTAGACTATGTTGGCTGCTGTAAATTTGCACGCGATGACAATGAGCCACTTCGTTGGCAGCTATCATTTGTGGTAGCCAGGTCGCTCGTGAAAAAGGGCTGGGACAGCTCAGCGGCCCACACTCTGGTAAAATAAAAATTGTTAAAACGCTTGTCTTTGTCTGGGCACAGCTGCGGCGGCACGCTGGGCGCGGTGCTCACGTGCCCGCTGGAGGTGGTGAAGACTCGCCTGCAGTCGTCGGGCTCCCTGTCCGGACTCCGCTCCGGCGTGGCCCCCGCGCCGCTCGCGCTCGCCCCGTGCCGCCGGCTCGTGTCGCCCGGCTCGCTGGCGCTTCACGGAGCCGGAGCGGCGCCCGGCGGTGCCGTCGCCGTCGCCGCCGCCCGCGTCGCCACGCCGAGCTTGGCGCAGTGTCTCAGGTGAGCGACGGCGAGCCACGGCGAGCGGGCACCTGTGCACCGGCGAAGGTGATAATAATAATAATAATAACGGCATCAACAACAGCCGCTGCCACCCGGTTTTACCGCTAGCCACGGATTTTCCACTGCGTAGCCGAGCCGAGCTGGCCCCCCCCGGCGTGACTCGCGAGGGGCCATGCTTATTGTACCACTACAGGAGCCGAGCCGTGTCATGCCGCTGATGTCACGCGTCGCGAACACGTCAAAACATGCGGTGGTGACGTGCCGACGCTGCAGCCTCGCGGGAGTAAACGTAGTCGAGACGCTTGTAAATGACAGACTGTGCCAATGAAGCAGCATTCTGTCGAGCACGTAGTAGTTGGCTTTCGCAACTAATGTCCACATTGTAAATATAAATGTGTCGTTAAACCCGCCACCAGCCGGCGCAGTCCCAATTAGTAGAAGGTTTGTGCGTTGTAAAGTAAACCCACAACATGTACAGTTTGAGTATGGTAACGTTTCGCTGGTGATTACAACAACCAGCTTCGTCAGGCGACGGCCAGAATCGTGAGAAAGGAAACAAAACCTTTATTCCAGACGGCGTTTGCCGCACGGCTTATGTTGACGCAGAGCAACAACTTGTGTGGCAGCGAATCGACACGGCGCCCCTGTGTGGATGGCAGTGACCTCCCGCGTATCCCCCCCTCCTCCCGCACGCACGCACGCCCCCCCACCCCCCACCCCCTTCGTGTGTTGTCAGGACGATAGTGGAGAAGGAGGGAGTCCGGTCCCTGTTCCGGGGTCTGGGTCCCAACCTGGTGGGAGTGGCGCCGTCGCGGTGAGGACGAGAGCCCCTTGCTATTCTCCCGCTCTGCAGTACACCACCAGCCTTAGCCCACGGTGCCCGCGCAAAGGCAAATGTAAAGATCCCCTCTCCCCCGTATAGCCCTTGAACAGACTGTTGGGGCAGGTGCCGTTAGCGAGCGCCTGTGTAGGCCGCTTGGACGCACGGGGGGGTGGTGTGGCTGACACCACGCCCCGGGCCTGCGTTTAAGGCGGAGTCGACCTAGGGGATTCCCACAATGAGTTCAGATGTTCGTCGTCAATGGTAGCCGTGAGCGGAAATCAAATTTGAACTCGCTAGGTTCTAAAACGAAACTGTTTCTATTTTAGCAGGTAAGGCCCACGGAGCAACCGAGCCCTTTTTCAGAAGCGACCTGGTCATCGCAAATGACAGCTGAGCGAAGTCGCTTGTCATCATGTGGACAGTTATAGCAGCCAAATACTCTTAGCGCAGTGCGCTAACTACTGCACTACCGCTCCCCACACACAGTGTCTTCGCTCGCACGCACGCACACACACACGCGCACACCCATGCCTATGTATAATTATTTATTCAGGAAAGCCACATCCGAGTATCAGGACTCTCTTACACACCGCCGGTTTCGTGACCCCGAGCGTTGGGGTTTCCCCGAACTGCAGCGCGACCCTTCACCGACGTGCCATTCGTATCGCGGTAAACCCTCGCTGCGAAGCGCAAAAACAACCCTCGAAAGTTCCCCCGCTCGGTGCTGCTGCTGCTGCTGCTCTCTCTCTCTCTCCGTCTCTCCCTTCTCCTTCCCTCTCCCCCCAGTGCCATCTACTTTGCGGCCTACTCCTCCGCCAAGGAGCGCTACAGCTCCGTCTTCCAGGCCGAGTCTCCGCCGGTGCACATGTGCTCCGCTGCCACGGCCGGTACGAGCCGCGCGCCGGGCCTCTGCCTTTCTCTGTCGTAGCATGCCGTGCCTGATGTAGCGCGCAAGTGCCTTGATGTAGCATGCTGTATCGAACCATGCTGTATTTGCTGTGACATGCTGTACCGTGCTGTACCATGCTGTGCTGTACCATTCTGTACCGTAGAATGCTGTACCTGCTGTACAGGACAGTACCTTCCTGTATCGTACCCCGCTGTACCATGCTGTACCGTACCCTGCAAAGCCATGCTCTACCTGTTCTACCGTGCAATATCATGCTTTACCATGCTGTTTAGTACCATGCGGTAACCATGTTGTAACGATGTACCATACCATGCTGTGCCTGCTGTACCTTGTAGTACTACGCTGTGCCATGCTGTACCGTACCATGCTGTTTAGTTCTTGACCGTGTCGTAGTATGGTTGTACCTGCTCTACCGTGCCGTGCTGTACCATACCGTACGATGCTGCCCCGTGTCGTTACATGCTGTAACCTGCTGTACCATGCAACACCAGGCTGTACTCTACCATGCTGTAACCGTATTGTGCCATACCGAGCCGTGCCGTGCCATACGTGCAATGGCGCAGCACTTCAGCGGCCTACCGTGTATCGTGGCCTTGACATCACGAGGGGTGGGTGGTGGCAGCATGAGGGTGGGGGGTGGGGGGGGGACCGGTGGTCTTTGCTGGGGGGCCGCCGTCACACCGGAGGGGTTGAGAGTGTCACCGGGTCACAAGGACGAATTTTCAGGCATTCAATCAACTCACAATAAAGGTGTTTGGGTTAGATCGCGTTATTTATAAATGTGTCGTAACCCTCCACCACCCGACACGGCCAATCAGCAAAAAAAGTGTCACGTTGACAAAAGACAATTAGTTGACTACTTTAGCCCACCGGTGTGTTGAAGAGTGAATCCACAACATTTACAGTTTGAGTACGACGTTTCGCTGGTAAATACATCCAGCATCATCAGGCAATTCGCCAGAATGGTAAAGCCCTCGCTTGCTCCCGGTTTTATATAGAGCAGCAGGGTGACGTCATCATTTAACTCATATCAGGTGTAGGGATTAGAGGCGGAGGGGGGGGTATTGTAATTATATAATCGATTAGTAATCAGTCAATGGTTATGATTAGTAATGAGTTGTAGATTAGTAATTAGGTGTAATGTGTGTTAGTGATTATATTCTATGTTAGTAATCCGTTAATTAGTGTTTCCCCTATATGGAATTGTAATGTGCATTCATTACTAATCATAACCATTGACTGATTACTAATCGATTATATAATTACAATACCCCCCCCTCCGCCTCTAATCACTGCACCTGATATGAGTTAAATGATGATGTCACCCTGCTGCTGTATATAAAACCGGGAGCAAGCGAGGGCTTTACCATTCTGGCGAATTGCCTGATGATGCTGGATGTATTTACCAGCGAAACGTCGTACTCAAACTGTAAATGTTGTGGATTCACTCTTCAACACACCGGCAGGCTAAAGTAGTGAATTATTTGTCTTTTGTCAACGTGACACTTTTTTTGCTGATTGGCCGTGTCGGGTGGTGGAGGGTTACGACACATTTATAAATAACGCGATATAACCCAAAAACCTTTATTATGAATAATATTGGTCGCGAAAACCTACGTATTCAATCAACTCTTAACTTTTTGTATATTACCAGGTAAGGCCCCACTGAGCTGTGTGTAGCTCTTATTCAGAAGCATCCTGGCCGCGATTGGTCGCTCAACGAAGTGGCTTGTCATCGTCACGTGGAAATGCATAGCAGTCAAATGTGGGGGGGGAAACCAGAGGACCACCGGAGAAACATCCACGGGGGGAGAGAGAGAGAAAGAGACGCCGCAAACTCCAAATCTACAGCAGCAGCTGCAGGCGTCGGGGTCGGGATCGAACCCACCACCTCCTGTGTGCCAGGCGAGGTAGTTAACATCTCATCACGGGAAGAGAGAGACGCCGCAAACTCCAAGTATACAGCAGCGTCAGGGTCGGGATCGAACCCACCACCTCCTGTGTACCAGGCGAGGTAGTCAACATCTCTCGGCCACTGCTCCGGGGTCAGCGGACGCGCGTGCTCGGCGCCTTGGTCGCGGGCGAGTCGTGGCCACGCGAGTGCCGCGCTCGCGATCCGCCCCACGGTCGCCTCCGCTTCACCCACGTCGGTGGTTGCCGCCCTTCCCCCCTCTCGCCAGGGTTCACCGCTATCAGCGCCACGAACCCAATCTGGCTCGTAAAAACTAGAATGCAGCTCGAGAGCAGGTAACGCAGCGCGGCCATCCCTCGCCTCTCCCCTCCCTCCTCTCACCTCGCCTCCCTCCCTCCCTCCCTCGCCTCCCCTCCCTCCCCGCCACCAAAACGGATTTGCCTCGTCGGAAAGAAACGGGGGCGCTCGTTTGCGAATCTGGGCGTCTGTGTTGAGGTTTCTCAACGTTGTGTCTCCGAATCGTGTTTTGTTCCGCCGTGTGGCTGGCTCTGCACGCGCGTTGCTTGTTCTGCCCGGGTGCTAAATTGGCGGCTTTGGGCGGTGGACTTGGCCTGCGGTTGCGGTGGCCCAATGAACGTTGCTTTCTGTTTGTCCTCGCAGAGGCCGCGGTTGTTGCGACGAGCGTGTCCTTTGTGCCTCTTCCCGCCTCCCCGTTTGTTGTTTGTTGTTAAGGAGAGGTTCACAATATAATCACAAATTAACTTGAAAAATGCGCTTAGGTTCGTTACGTAGGTAGGCTAAAAATATACATATATATAAAACGCAAGGCGTCAAGGAAAGTGGGAGGGCGGATTGTTACGTCTCGGGATTGAGAGACGGCGAAAGGGTGGGGGGGGGGGGAAGGGAGACCTCATCCAGCAGTGTATAGACCTGGGCCGATGATGACGGCTATAATAATCACAAACAAAATAACAAATGCTACGAGAATGAATAAGAAATTGCTCAATTTACCCAAAAAAGCATCGGTTTATTTATTTATCACATTACAGATAAGGAAAGCATCCCGTTCATACGACAAACGAAACGCCTTGACACTTAGCGGACATCAAGCCTCGTATGTACGTGTGTACGTTGAACTCCTGCAACGTACGTGCATAGCCAACGGTGCTAATCGGAGGTGCGCGGGGTGGGGGGGGGGGACAAACTGAACACAAAAACGATCAAGCCACGCTGGGAAAGGCCAGCTCGCGCTTGAGTCGATCTGTCGCTCGTGCGACGCTGTGGCTCCTTGTCGTCGCGAGCCGGTGTTGTGGAGCAGAGAGATGGAGGCGATCGCGGGCAGCGTTGGAAAAAGCGATGTTCACCAAAATAAACTGAAACTTTTTATTTTACCAGCTAAGGCCCCACTGGGCTACAATTTGGCCCTTTTTCAGAAGCGACCTGGCCACAAATGTTAGCTCAACGAAGTGGCTTATCATCGTGCGGACATTTATAACAGCAGCCAAATACCCTGAACGCGAGACGTTAACCACCTCGCCTGGTGTACAGAAGGTCTTGGGTTCGATCCCAACCCTGACGCCTGTACATTTGGAGTTTGCGGTGTCTCTCTCTCCCCACGGTCGCGTGGATTTTTCTCCGGGCCCACCGGTTTTTCCTTCCACATTTAGAAACACGCGTTTAGAGTATTTGGCTGCTGTCAGTGTCCACGCGATGATGATGATGATGAGCCACTTCGTTGGGCTATCATTTGGGACTGCCAGGTCGCTTCTGAAAAAGAGCTACGTAGCTCAAGAGGGCCTGAACTGGTAAACAAAACAGTTACATGTTATCGTTTAAATATAGGGCCACAGAGCTTGGGCATTTCTCTGCGGTTTCCCACACCTCTCCTCTCTCCGAGAGTGAACGAGGTGTGAGGATGAGATGACATCTGTTCTGCCGGTGACGCCGCCGCTGGGTTAATGAGTGTTGAGGCTGTGACAGCGGTTATACAGCAGCAGGAGGTGTGATCTTTACGAGCGGGCAAGAGTAGACTGAGAGCAAGGGAGTGAGGGAGGTTAGGGACGGAGGTTAGGGAGGGAGGGAGGTTAGGGAGGTTAGGGAGGGAGGTTAGGGAGGGAGGACTGTGCGTCTATCTCGCTCTAACGTGGAACACATGCAAGCGGAAGTAAAGTTTGGCACAAATTCGTATCGCGTTAAATAATACATTTATAAAATATTTAACGCGATACAATTTGCTGGTGGTCAACATTCCAAGTTGTAAGCAAACCGTGCAACTAGACGTGTTCTTACGGTATTTGTGAAATATTTGGACGCGCAAATGCCAAATACGTTACGAGTAGCGTAGAAAGGTCAAGGTGGAGCTCTGCAATTTCTAGATTATGTCGCTGCTGCCAAGACTGCCTCTACTCCAGGGGGGAGCTCATTAAATGCTCCCCCTCTAGAGGGTGTTTTGGCCTACTCTTCCACGCTAGCCAGATGTGTTAGAAAGGGGGGGGGGGGTGACGGTGCCCACACTTGATCCCCACCGCATACGACCTGCCGATCAACTGAACTGTGCTGCCAAGCCATTTGCAATTCGCACCGTTGTTGCAACTGCCTCGCAGGCAAGTTGTGTTCCAACATGGGGGCCCTCCTTGCTGCCGCGGCACGAGCATCAACCGCTGCCGCCACCCTGCTGGCCCGCTCCTCGTTTCCTCGTCTTTTGATTTTGTCTCCCCCGTGGGTGGTCGTGGTGGCTGATCCTGTTGTCGACGGTTCGCTCACTCGCCGCGCTCGCTCTGTCTCTCCCTCGCCCTGTCCGTCCGTGGGTCTCCGTGTCTCTGTGGTCTCTCCGGGGTGTCTCTCTCCGGGTGTGTCCGTGGCACCGTGAAATCTGCGCGCAGGCTTTATCACTAACACCTCCATGAACCCCGTGTGGCTGGTGAAAACTCGCATGCAGCTCGACGCAAGGTGCGTCGCCCGAAGGCCACACACACCACACACACACGCTGCACCGCCACGCGACCCCACCCAAACCCACCCCACCCCACCCAACCCCACCCCACACCCCACCATGAACGGCGGCCGCGATCGTTTTGCCGATTGGCGAAATCGGCGTCTTGTCCGTAACGGCGAGGGTTGTTTAACCCTCATTCCCGTTCCGAGATATCTGCAAGTCATAGCGTGTGGGTGTGTCCCCGTTCACCGCTGAATCTCGGAACGCGCGAGCGGCTCGGCGTTCATTTCATTCAGAGAGGCGTAGCGCCGTTGCTTTTAAAAAGGCGTCACACTCGCCCGCAGAGAAGCGTAGCGACACGACCGCACTCTTCGATAGCTGGCGCCAAACCGTGCCACGCGCTTTCCCGCGTGGCCTTGTGGGAGCCTCTGTACCGATAGAGTTATTTGAATTTTTTCATCCATTTCCGTTCCGACGACGTAGACCCGCGTCATCAGAACAGAATCCAAAGAAAAACGGAATTGGAAGTAAAACTGATGACGGGCACCCACGTCATCGGAATGGGGGAAAGGGTTAATTTTAATGACCGGTGAAACCATGTCACAGCTTTCACACTCTGAAAGGTCGGGAACCGGGTAACCGACCCCAGTGGGACGACTACATTGGCCGTCGTTTCTCGGTTAAAAACGGCAAAAGCGCAGCCCCTGCGATTGGGTGACCGGGTAAAAAATTACTTGACAACCTTTAGAAATGTTGCTTCTCTTCGTCTTGACTCGGCACTGCTGACATGACGCACTCCCAGAAGGCTGCGGGGCCTTTTGTGATCTGTGAAAGGAAAACAAACTAAAATTGCTGGGCAATCACCACAGAGCGGTTGCCCGTGAGCGATTGACGTGGCGGTTGTACGGCGTCGTTTTACGACGACGCTTTCGCACGCTGCTCCCCCCGCCCCCCCCCTCCCCTCCTCCGCAGGAGCCGCGGCGAGCGCGGCACGACGGCGCTGCAGTGCGTGCGCAAGGTGTACCGCACGGAGGGCTTCCGCGGATTCTACCGCGGAATGACGGCCTCCTACGCCGGCATCTCCGAGACCATCGTTCACTTTGTGCTCTACGAGAGCCTCAAGAGGCGGCTGCTGGAGGCGCGGGGGCGCAAGTCCGGCCGCCGCGACAGCGCCGCCGCCACCGGCGGCGGGCCCGGGGCGGAGGGGCCATCCCGGCGGCTCGGGGGCGCCGCCACCTCGGTCGTCGTGGCCGCGGCCGCCCCCGCTGCCGCCGTGGCGGCGGTGGAGGACGGGCGGCTGGCCAGCGACTTCCTGGTGCTGATGTGCGCCGCGGCCTGCTCCAAGGCCTGCGCGTCCTGCCTGGCCTACCCGCACGGTGAGGCCGGCGTGGGGTGCGGGCGGGCGCTCACACCCGCTCATTGGCGGGAGGGGGCGGGGGGGGGGTGTCGGTGCTAGAAGCGGTGGTGGTCAACTGGAGGCAGTCGCCCTCCAACAACAATGGGTAGGGCGGAGGGACGACGCTCACAGTGCAGTAGGGGGCACAGCTGGTGCGCATCCGCCAGCCATCTCAGCCGGTCAACCCACGACACCCGTGCTCTGTATCGTGACCTCCTGTCAGCAGCGAGCCTTCGTCACGTCACGTGGCCTCGAGGAGCACCTGGCCTGGCACAGGCGCCGTGGTGACGTCACCGTCAGTGGCGAATGGCGGCTGTGTTGGTGTTGGTGGTTTCTGGGGAGCGGCGGTGTAGAGGTGACCACGCCGCGCTACGAACCCGGCGACCCGAGTTCGATTCCCGCTGACGGCCAACACCGGTGACGATTATCTGAACCGGTCATGGGCCTCCCTGAGGTCGACTCAGCCTCAAATGAGCACCTGGTGCGGTGTGTAAACATCGCCACAGGGGAGACAGGCGGCCGGGCGCGGTGCTGGCCACCCACCCCCTCGTGTGCCTGTGCCGGCCTTCACAGGTGCTGCTCGCTGACAGAACTTGCCCCAACAGTCTGTTGTGGCTACGCGGGGGATCTTTGCCTTCAGTATTGTTGCTGATGGTAGTTGTTCCGGCGATGGGTCCTATGATGATTTTGGGATCCTTTACAAACAAGTCTGAGCCCTCTGTAAGTCAGCTGTGGATCGTATATCGAAGGACCATGGGTGAATGTCCATGAAAGTCACTCCGGAATTGCTGTCATTGTTTTATTTGCGTGCCGTTCTTGATCTCCCTCCCTCCCTCTTTCACTCTCTCCACCTCCGTCCCCTCCATTCCTGGCTGCGGAAGCAGAGGTGGCACGCACGCGTCTGCGCGAGGAGGGCACCAAGTACCGCTCGCTGGTGCAGACGCTGCGTGTGGTGGCGCGCGAGGAGGGCGGCCGGGCGCTGTACCGCGGCCTCCCCGCTCACCTCCTGCGCCAGGTGCCCAACACGGCCATCATGATGGCCACGTACGAGGTCGTCGTCTACCTGCTCAGCGGATAGGCCGTCGCCCCTCCCACCTCGCCCCTCCCACGTCGCCCCTCCCACGTCGCCCCTCCCACCTCGCCCCTCCCACCTCGTCCCTCCCACCTCGCCCCTCCCACCTCGCCCCTCCCACCTCGTCCCTCCCACCTCGCCCCTCCCACCTCGCCCCTCCCACCTCGTCCCTCCCACCTCGCCCCGCCCACCTCGCTCCTCCCACCTCGCCCCTCCCACCTCGCCCCTCCCACCTCGCCCCTCCCACCTCGCCCCTCCCACCTCGCCCCGTGGAGCCGGCCGCGCGACAAGAGGCTGCGGTGGCACCGGCAGAGTCGGCGGTGGCACCGGCAGAGGCGGCGGTGGCACCGGCAAGAGGCGGCGGTGGCACCGGCAAGAGGCTGCGGTGGCACCGGCAGAGGCGGCGGTGGCGGCGACAGAAAAGCGACGCAGCGGCAGCGGCGGCAGCGGCGGCATCAAGGCTAGTGGTGGCAATTAGAAGCAGCGGTGTGAGCAGTGGAAGGTGGCTGCAGTAGATACAGCAGCAGTAACAACAGCAGCAGCAGCAGCACTAGCTAGCAACAAGAACAAAAACCGGTAGTAGCAGCAGTGTTAGCAGTACCAGCAGCTTCAGCACGAGCAGCAGTGGCAGGAGCTACAGCAGTTGCGGCAACAGTGGCATCAAGGGGTAGTAGTGGAAATTAACACCAGGAGTAGTAGCAGCAGCGGCAACGATAACAACAGGAGTAGTAGCAGCAGCAAGAGTCGTAGCAGAAGCAACAACAGCACCACTTGCGCTTAGAAGCAGAACCTGATGATGACCTCTAAGGTGTGGGCGTCAGCAACAGCAGTGCAGCAAGTAGGGTTGCTATCGGCGCCTGTAAGATTTGTATTTATTCTAAAGCGTTATCCCCCTACGTGCGAGCGGTGGCTTTTCTCCCGAGTCGCGGGGACCAACACTTCCTCGGCCAAACAATCTCTCTCGGCAGGAGCCTCCTGGCAGAAAAAACAGGAGTCTTGAGACTCGGTGGAAAGCCTTTCGCTGGAGAAGTGTCCTTGATAAACCACTGAGGCAACGCAGACTCTTGTCACCCTACTCTGCCTGGGGGCTGACTGAGCGTGGCTTTTCCCGGTCAGATGGGTATTTTTCTCTTAGAAACGAATTCCAACAAAGACACAGATCCCCCATGTCGCCTTCACAGACTGCTGGGGCAAGTGCTGTTAGCGAGCACCTTTTTGAAGGCCGGCACGGCACACGACGGGGTGGGTGGCCAGCACCACGCCCGGCCACCTTTGTCTCCCCAGTGGCGATGTTTACACACCGCACGAGGTAATTATTTGAGGCTGAGTCGACCTAGGGGAGGTCCAGGACCAGTGCAAATAATCGTCACTGGTGTTGGCCTTAAGCAGGAATCGAACTTGGGTCGCCGGATTAGTAGCGCAACGCACCAGCGTGCTAACCGTTGCGCCACCGCTCCCCACAAATACACACACACACAGAAATGTGGATATGGGCGGAGAACCGATAATCAATTGGTGATCGTTTCCCTGCGTTTGCTTATCAATGACACAAAGAATCCCGAAGTGAACACCAATCGGCGTCGCTTCATCAGTCACCGTCGCATCATCATCATCATCATCATCCTGCGTCGCTACAGCGAGCGCACCGTGGACCTGTCTGACGAGTCAGCCTAACGAGCGTACGTTGTTGAACAAGACCTCCGCCAGGTTTCGAGCGATCGACAGGTTGGCGTTCTATGGGGGCCTTGAGTGGTGTTCGAAGTGATTTCAAGTCGGTCCTGTGACAGTTTGCCATCACTGCAGGACCCGTACGAGGGTGCACGCGTGGGGAGCTAAATTTACGATTGGTGCTGCGTCTTCCACGCACAGATGATGCCATTGTATTTATTTGAGTGATTCGTATTTATATTGCTTTTGTGTATGATATTTATATTTTTTTTTTGTACAGCCCCTTTATGGAGCCACTGTTGGATGAGCGCCTCCCCACGCCGTGCGGGTCGTGGTTGGTTATTTGGCCATGCCTCGCCACGCCGGTCGGTGCAGCTTTGGGAGCACAGCACAGTACAAGTGGGCTTCGCTGCTCTGCCACGTGCCGCCCGCGGCTGGTTTAAACCGTGGAACTCTCTGAGGCCTCCTCGCCAGTTAAATTGTTTTAATCACCGTTGCGTGGATTTACGCGCTGGTAATCTAAAAGCGGCGCGTTAACAACTGCCAAGGTGGCAACGGGCGACTCGGAGGTCTGGGTTCGAATCCAGGGTTACGGCCGCCTGCGATTAAACCGGGTTCTCGAGCGCCCGGGCCAGCAACGACAGCGCGTGAAGCAACAGACAGAAAACAACAAAAAACCCCCCGTCGCATTGAACTTAAAATATGGCTAAATCAACGTCGCTGACAATCGTTTGAATGGTTACGTGAATTCAGGTTTTCTCTCTGGCAGGGCGGCCGGGAAAGGGTCGCCCCCGCTGCTGTTTGGACCAGCGGCTACTTGAGTGGATCCGTAGGAGGTAGTTCTGTAATATAAACTTACGTGGACATTTTCTTAACAGGAAGGGCTACTACACTGCTTTAACAGGAGTTCTGAATGGATGCCTTTGTCTTGTGACCGTGACACCGATAGCACAATCTGGACGAACCTGGGGTGAAAAGGCACTTCGTTTATGAAAGCCATCGCCGGTGTGCATTTAGCTGCAGCCTCACCGAGTTGCCTCGAACGTAGATGCCATCCCGCGGGTTTTTGTGCCGTACTTCCCGAGTAAAGTGTCTTGCAGAACCAGCTCAAAGGCTTAAGGGTCCATCAAATGTCTATAAGACTTCAAAGAAATTAACGGAATTCTGTTGTGTATTTTTCTGTTCGTTTTTTTTTTAATACAAGATATTAAATAATCACATATGTATACAGCGTTTGTGTTAATAATTGGAGACACACACATATATATACCATCTTAGGAATGGGTTTCGGATGTAAACATTTAGTATTTTTCCGCGTAAAATTCGGAGTTGCGGGGTTCGGATTTTTGGCACTGTTTCCACTGCGGTACGAACTCATCCGGCGCCCTCGCGCGAGGAAGGCGACGGTCGCCCCAACGCTGTACGACTCTGCTTGTGGCGTCCAACGTCGACTAACGCGAGCGAGCGGCTTCAACGGAAGTCGCTCGCTCGCTCGCATTGCGTGTGGGTGCCTTCATTGGGCGTGACGTTAGTTTCGCTTCGTCACAAATTTAGCGACGAGGCCCAAGTTCATTTTTTGCCATGTTTTCTCCGAAAATCGAGAACATCTCCCAACAATGCACCAACAGCCGCCATTCGCCACGGAGTGACGACGCCACCACGGTGCCTGTGCCAGGCCAGGTGCACTTTGAGGCCACGTGGTCACGGGACAGAACCCGGCAGGTGCCATGTGTTGACCGACAGCTGTGTGCCCCCTGCTGTGCCAACTCGCTGAATTGTATCCCGCTAGGCGCTCCGCTCGTTGTTGTGAGCGTTGCACCTCTGCCCTCCGTTGCTGTTGGAGGGCGATCGCCTCCAACTGACCAGTAGTGTCCTTCACGAGCTTCCATCTATACACACATATATATGTATAACTCAAACTGAAATTCGGAGAGTGTTTTGTTTAGTTTAACACAGAGGCTTTCGCGAGGTTTTTTTTTTGGTTAGGTCGCGTAAATATAAATGTGTCGTTAAGCCCACCACCACCTGACACAGGCAGTTAATAAGGTTTGTCACGTAAACAAAACGTGTCAATTCGTTACTGGTACAGCACACTGGATATGTGTTAGGCGAGTACTTTAAGATGAATGCGGCACCCGTACAAGCGTTTGCAGTGAATGTTCACGGTCCGGTTGAAAGGGAATTCATAAATAGATGTTCATACTTTAGCTTATGTTGGAATATGCCAAGGAAATTGTAACCTCTTTTTGAAAGATGATGAATAAAAAATATTTATTTTTCAAAACTGCGTGCCATGTGTTTGTGTTGCGTGAATGTTTGAAGTTCCCGAGCCTTTTGCAAAGCGGCGTCGATGAACTTGCAGGAGAGAATTTAAAAACTACGTTTTATTTTGGTGTTTAGTCATTGCCGTCCAATTGAGAAATCAAATGACTATCTAGACAAATGTGTGTTCCAACAGGAAGTTACACCATATTGTTCGTCTTTGGCGTTCTCTGGTCTGACACCGGTTGAGACTAGGCCATGAAGAAGGCTGCAGTATCTGGTGTAGACCAATCAGTTACAAAGACAATGCCCATGTGATCAGAGCCATGTTTTGTTTGCATGCTCACCACACGTGCTATGTACGTGTGGTTAATGCAGGACTTGATTGCTGGCAAAAGGTGTCTCTTTGGTGTTTGAACATCTTAATACCTGATTTAAAGCTTTCGTGACTGCTGGGGTTCATATTCTTGGTTATTTCGGTAAAGTCACGTGAACACAAAGCAGACCTAAAACACGGTAGGACCAACACCTCGGCCGTGGCAGATCACTGTTATAATTCAGTAGGCTCACATGACATTGACTTCTCCAAGACAGAGGTTCTTTGCAAGCCATCTGGCTACCATGAAAGATTTGTTCATGAGGCTATCCACATATACAAACACAGAGACAATTTCAACCGAGAAGATGGATTCTGGCTTAGCAATCATTGGAAGGATTTGATAAACCATTTTGGGTCTTAATTGATTGTTCACGCTTACGGTGGCTTTCAGACCGCATCCATTATTTTCGTCTCCCCCTTCCTCTTTTCCGAACATAGATGGACTCATTAAAGAATTAAAGCTTTCGTAACTGCAGAAAATTACTCATTGGCTTTTTCGGTAAAGTCACGTATGTAGAAATACAATAAAATTATATTGAAACAAAACAAAACAAAAACAATCACGACGTTTCGATCACAACACAAGCGATCTTCATCAGGTGTCAAGAACAAATCATGGAGGTAAATACAACAAGAAGATGAGAGACGAGAATTCAACAAACGCAGGAAACATTATGTGAAGCACAACCAGTCAAGCCAACAACACAGACAATTCCTGGCGGACCACGGATTTCAGAAGAGTGTTAAATTTCGTGTTCGACTTCTGGATTGCACTTAGCAGCATAGAGTGAACAAATACGAGGTACAAAGTCAGCAGAAATGCATATACAGGCCCACTAAGAGGCAAGGAGGGAGGAAAAGACAGAAGCAAGGAGAGAGAGAGAGAGAGAGGGGGGCCGAAGGGACGAACCTAAGCCTTAAATAGGATATACAGTTGGGGGGAGGGCTGGAGAGAGAAGGTGCGGGCGATGAACTCTTGAAGCTGCACATCAACAGAAGCGGGGGGGGGGGGGAGAGGGTAGGAGCAAGCTTGGGGTGCACATTTAAGACAGAATTGCAAAGGTAACATCCCCGTAGAAGTGTGTTAATAAAGAATTAAAGCTTTCGTGACTGCATAAAATTACTCATTGGCTTTTTCGGTAAAGTCACGTATGTATAAATACAATAATATTATTGTATTTCTACATAGATGGACTCGTCCATCTGAATAACTGCCAAATCGCTCTCCGTGGTGCTAACGTTAAAAAACGCCACTTTTTCAAATTTTCTTGCTGTGGTTTTCACACCTGATGATGATTGCTTGTGTTGCAGTCGAAACGTGAGAATTTTATTGTTTTATATTTTTATTATTTAATTGTTTCCCTTCTACGTGACTTTACCGAAAGAACCAAGAACATCTTAACACCTGTTTTATTGCCAGAAGGGGTAAAACCGATTCATATTTGTTCATACCATTGATTAACCTACTAAGGGATACCGTTTGTTCAGCGGTCGATAATGAAGCTGTATTTTAAGTGGTTTGCCATTTTTTTGAGTCCTGCCAGATGATGCTCAGTTTTGGTCTCATTCAGAATCTCTATTTAGACTTCAGAATCTTTATTTAGACTGTCAGAATATTTATTTAGACTGTCAGAATCTTTATTTAGACTTCAGAATCTTTATTTAGACTTCAGAATCTTTATTTAGACTGTCAGAATCTTTATTTAGACTGTCAGAATCTTTATTTAGACTGTCAGAATCTTTATTTAGACTTCAGAATCTTTATTTAGACTGGAGGAATCCGATGAGCTACACATGTCCAGTAGATGCAGGTCGGAAAGTGGCAATAACAATCAAAACACAAACAGGATAGGGGAGTGCAAAATATGGGAAAGGTAAACAAATCACTCAAGAAAGTGGCTTGTCACGTGGGCATTTATAGCAGCCAAATGATCTAAAATAATCTAAAAGCAACTTTAACGTCCGATAATGCTGGATGTAATTACCAGCGAAACGTTTTACTACTCAAATTGTAAACGTCAAGTTACTCTCCAACACACCGGTGGGCTGAAGTAGTGTAGTACACTACACTATACACTGCATTACACACTACAGTATACTCGTAACTAATTGCTGTTTTGTTTACGTGACAAATCCCTTACCAATTGGCCGTGTTGGGTGGTGAAGGGTTACGACACAACATTAATACTTAAGTGATCTAACCCAAAAACCTTTATTATGAACCATTTACGGCCTTCGGCCAGGAAAGTCACAACAAAATTACGCACGAACGACGCATTCCGCTTTGAAGTTTTTAAATGAAACATCTTTGAATTGTATTATGTTTTGAATTAGAAAATTGTATTTCTTCATTGAAAGCTTATATCATTTTACAATTTGAAAGACTTCATTGAAAACGACTTTTCGTGTGAATTTTCTCTCGTCGTGAAGTAGATGATGGCCTTGCCGGGGGGTTCGGTTCGATGCGGACTTTCACCTTTCGATTTAAAGCTTTCGTGACTGCAAGGATTCATCTTCTTTGGTTCTTTCAGTAAAGTCACGTAGAATGAGAATAAAATAATAAGTTGATCAAATAAAATAACACAATACAATTCTCACGACGTTTCGGCCACGACACAAGTGGCCTTCATCAGGTGAAGGGACGAGACTGTCCTCCAGCGCTGTCCTCCAGACAGTCTCGTCCCTTCACCTGATGAAGGCCGCTTGTGTTGTGGCCGAAAACGTCGTGAGAATTTTATTGTGTTATTTTATTTCATCAATTTATTATTTTACTCTCATTCTACGTGACTTTACCGAAAGAACCAAAGAAGGACTTCCACCCGTTCGGGGGATCGCGGGATGGAGATAAGGCGACGTGGAGCTGCTGGCCGTGGGAGAAGACCGCCGGCTGCAGATCGATGCCAACGTGATCGAACGTCTGTCCCTGCCACTCCGTCGTTCATGCGTGAAAACGACGGAACGTGATAGCGTTCATCGCACAGATAGATAAAGTTGGACTAATCCTAAATAAACTGCCAAATCGCTGCGCGTGGCGCTAACGGTTTTTTTATAAATAAATAAATACACCGTTTAAAAATAAATTGATGCAAACCGACACACCTGAAGACGACCGTTTGTGTTATGGTCGAAACGTCGTGAGAATTTTTATTGTTTTATATATATTTTATTATTTTGTTGTTTCCCTTCAACGTGACTTTACCGAAAGAACTAAGAATATGAATTACTGCAGTCACGAAAGCTTTAAATCAAAAAATAGATAAAGTTGTACGCTTAGGGGCCGTCCATAAATGACGTCACGCGATTTTGGACGATTTTTGACCCCCCCCCCCACTCGTCACACGGCGTCACAGAAAGTCAGACCCCCCCTCAACTATGACGTCACAAAGCTCTGCCCCCCCCCCCCAAAACCATATTTCCATTTTGAAAATAAAACATGCTTCAAATGGCTTTAAACTATTGTCATTGTAGTGAGTATTTAATGTGGCGCTGCACTCTGATGTTGCAGGAGAAAACATTTATTTAAAAAAGTACTGTATATTTAATGAGAACGTGTTGTCTATATTTATTTAAAGTTGCGCATTTTGATGTGACGTCACATTTCTCAAACTCCCCCACCCCCGCTCGTCACACATCGTCACAAATGTCTGACCCCCCCCCCCCCCCAGGTGCGTGACGTCATTTATGGACGGCCCCTTATATAATAGTATACAATATTGGTTGCGAAAGGCCGCGACGTGTTAAATGTAACGATCCGCTTGGCTTTTGGGATGCCTCCATTCATAAGATTGGTAAGGTGCGTGACGTCACTTTGACAAGCAACGTGGGCGATGACGTCACCCTGTCGGGTTGCGCTTGGAGTTGGGTGGACGTGACGTCATATCGTCGGAACCATTTTTTTTAGCTGCCGGTACCTTGGCTTCACCCTCCCTGGCAATGAAATAGTTGTGTTTAAAAAAAATGTTTAAAACACCCAAGTAGATTTCGATTTAAAGCTTTTGTGACTGCAGGGATTCATATTCTTGGTTCTTTCGGTAAATAATATTTTATTATTTTAAATTGTATTTTTATTTTTATTATTTTATTATTTCCCTTCTACGTGACTTTACCGAAAGAACCAAGAATAAGACACCGAAGTAGATAACGAGACATCAAGTCTGCAACAGCCACACACACGCGATATGTGGATAAATGTGTGCTGATAAAATTATACATGGACGTGACGTCGTTGCTCGCGTGACGTCACCTCAAAGTTTTTTTAACGATGGCGTCACGGGAGACTGTAACGCCATTTTGTTGGTGACTAACGTCAACGTCATTTCATTGCAGGGAGCGTGACGTCATATCTCGTGCGGCCTGCTCACGTCAATCAACACAACTTATGCGAAAACAGTGCGGCACGTGCATTTAAATTGATAACAAAACAGCACATTTTGTCTAATGTAATGCTCGCTGTGGGTGAATAAATTATATCAAAATCTGGGGGCGTTCGCTAAGTGAGTGAGGCCACTTTACGTGTGGTTGCGATTGAGGTTTGTATTTATTTTTCTCGGGAGTTTCCGTGAGGGGACCCCGTCGCCTGGATTTCGCCGCGGGAAGCCTAGACGAGGCCGCCGGCCGGTGGGATCCGTGGAAGATGCCCGAGATAAAAGTGACTCCGCTTGGTGAGTGTAGCAGTGGGAGAGATGAGTGCGAGCTGTTAATCCACTGCTGGATGAGGGCCTCCGCCACACGCTTTGTGGGCCGTGGGGTGCTGTTCACTTGACCATACTTCACCACACCGGTCAGTGCGGTTTGGTGAAGGCGGAGAGCATCTCCCGTGGGAGGCACGTATAGGACTGTACAACTATGGATTTTGTGGGAGGCACGTATAGTACTGTACAACTATGGATTTTGTGGGAGGCACGTATAGTACTGTACAACTATGGATTTTGTGGGAGGCACGTATAGGACTGTACAACTATGGATTTTGTGGGAGGCACGTATAGTACTGTACAACTATGGATTTTGTGGGAGGCACGTATAGTACTGTACAACTATGGATTTTGTGGGAGGCACGTATAGGACTGTACAACTATGGATTTTGTGGGAGGCACGTATAGTACTGTACAACTATGGATTTTGTGGGAGGCACGTATAGTACTGTACAACTATGGATTTTGCTGTCTGGCCCTCATGCTGTGAATGGTCACCATCCAACCTCTGTGCTGCATGTACGTTTGTTGAACTTCTTTCGCACCGTACGTAGCCAACCGCGCTACTCTGAGGTGTGGGGGCGGGGGTGGTGGTGAGGAACACGGCAACAAACTAAACACAAAAACAACAAAAATCACGACGTTTCGGCCACAACACAAGCGGCCTTCATCAGGTGAAGGGACCAGGCTGTCTCGAGGACACCTGGTGAAGGCCGCTTGTGTTGTGGCCGAAACGTCGTGATTTTTGTTATTTTATTTTTTCACCTACGTGACTTTACCGAATAGAACCAAATAGTATGGATCCTTGCAGTCACGAAAGCTTCAAATCTAGAATTAAACACAAACAGCTCGAATCTGCTTCCTTAGTTGACCATTTTCGGTCGCATCCAGGGTGATTTTGGTCCCAGGACTCGGGTTAATTTTCAGCCGGAGATGTCCGGGGCTGAGCACCGGAAAATGCCTTACCCGCTTGGTCAGGAGGTTGGGAAGGGTTGGGTGGGGAAGGGGGAAGGGGTCTAGGAAATATTCCTCGAGATTTGTCCACGAGGCAATTCAGATTGACAAGCACAGACACAATTTCAACCGAGAAGATGGTTTCAAATTAAGCAACCATTGGAAAGATGTTCTAAATCGAACCAAACATTAAACTAATTTTCAACGGTACAGTATATTTATTCTAGTAGTGGCATTCCAAACTTCCAAGGTGGTGTATTATCATCTTATGCTAATTCCAAGCTTTGTCAGTAGTACGTTTTATGCTAATTTCCTTTGTCAAGGCGTTTACTGTTTACCCCCTCACAGCTTAAAAGGAGGCGACCTGCGCTTGGCTTTCTTCACTCCAGTGCTGTCCGCTGGACAGTTTGGTCCCTTCACCTGATGAAGGCCACTTGTGTTGTGGCCGAAACGTTGTGATTTTTGTCGTGACTTTACCGAATAGAACCAAAGAGTATGTGGATGCTTGCAGTCACGAAAGCTTCAAATCTAGAATTTCTTGAGAAATTAAAAGCTGTGTGATCGTAGGCGACAAATGGCTGCACAGAATCAGAATGTGTATTTATACCGGAGGAATCCGATGAGCTACAAAGCTCTTTCGTTTTTTCCCCGATGCCCAGTCGGGGGGCCACCTGGGCCAACTGACGGACACTTCCATCACGGGGTGCGTGTCTCCGCTGGTCTGTGTGACTGTCGCCTCGTTATATCTCCACCCCCCCCCCCCGCCGGCAGGAGCCGGGCAAGATGTGGGAAGGAGCTGCATTCTCGTCTCCATCAGGGGCAAGAATATCATGCTCGACTGCGGCATGCACATGGGCTTCAACGACGACGTAACGACACCAGGGATACCGCTCATGTTTACCATACTATAGTAGTTGGGTTAGATCCCGTAAATATATGTTAACCGCCCACCCCCACCCCCCACTTGACACAGCCAATTAGTGAGGTTTGTCACGTAAACCAAACGTGCCAATTTAGGTACTGTTTCAGCACACCACCCGGTTGAGTGTTGGAGAGTAAACCCACCACAACATTTACGTTTCGCCGGTAATTACAACAAGCAGCATCATCAGGCGACAGCCAGAGTTGCGGAGGAATCGTCCTCCTGTGCTTCGGTCTTAAATAGACGGGGGATAGATGTGATGTCGTCACCTGTGAGCCAATCAGGTGCGGAGACCAGAGATGGGGGGGGGGTGGGAGTTAATGTATCCATATAAATGGAAATGGATATCTATTTTTGGTTTGCAATTTACACTCCCCGATTTTCTATCAAGACGGTGCTATTGGCGTCACGGCGTGAGACCAAGTACAGGTTTCCCCTCGCTTTATGCTTGTTCGGTGTGTGCGATTTCACGCCGTATACGCAGCTAACCATTTTACTACACAAAATTCGCTGAATGCGGTTTGAATTCACTCGCACGCGGCTATGGCGGTCGGACGTGGGGAAACATTGTGTGGAACGCATCTGCCGAGAGATAGCTTGCAGGGCAGCTCTTTGCATTCGGGAACTTTTTGACCAAAGCGGATAGCATAGACCTACTTCTGAGATCCCTACATACAAGTTTCCTGGGATCCGCATACAGTAGCGGTCAGCACTTTGCCACCGACTCTCCGGGAATATTGTTTATTGAGGCGGTCAGATTGCTCTGACCACGGTGGCTAGGAGATGTTAACTACCTCGCCTGGAATGCAGGAGGTCGTGGGTTCGATCCCGACCTTCAAAGCCTGTATACGCATATCTCTCTCCCGATGGTCACGTGTATTTTTCTCCGGGTCCTCCGGATTTTTCCCTCCACATTCAGAAAACACCCGTTTAGAGTGTTTGCCTGCTATACATTTCTACACAATAAGTCACTTTGTTGAGCTGGTCGCTTCTAAAAAAGAGAGGCTCTTACCTGTTCAAATAGAAAAATAGTTTGATTAGCTCAGGTTGCAGACAGCTGAGCCAGCATCAGCACCACTCAGAGTCTATGTTTGAATCTGGGTCTCAACCTCCCAAACCGTGATTAATACTGGTTCTAAAGTGTGGCAAGTTTTTAGGTCCATACTCTTTAGTTCTATTCGGTAAAGTCACGTAGGTAAAAAATTAAAATAAAATAAAACAATAAAAATCACGACGTTTCGGCCACAACACAAGCGGCCTTCATCAGGTGAAGGGACCAGGCTGTCTCGAGGACAGCGCTGGGATTTAAATCTAGAAAGTTTTTAGGTCTCAGCACTGGCTACCAATGAATGGTTCCACAAAAATGTAATATTAATTTTACTTTTTTTAACCTAGTTTGAATACAGTGAACATTTTATCTAGTAAAATTAAGATTGTTTGGATTTGTATTGCATCTAAATGTGACCACATCTCAAGACAAAATATGAATCTAAATTCCATCTCTGTCATTTAAACAATTTATTTTGATTGACATGGCAACAAACACTTGTTGCTGGGTATGTGAAAGCTGTGTCCCCTCGTGTGGATGAAAGAGCTTACTGAAGTAACCTCAGATGTACTTCTGTCGTGTCATCTTCCAAGGAGCCATTCTGACACAGTGTGATGTACGAACTGCAAAGTTGCGAATGAGAAACTCCTCATCTCTGATAAAAGCAAAATTGCGTTGTAATTATGTAATTAGATTGATACATCTCCTATGTTCTACCTTAAATTTTGATTTAAAGCTTTCGTGACTGGAGTAATTCATATTCTTAGCTCTTTCGGTAAAGTCACGTTGAAGGGAAACAATAAAATAATAAAATATATATTAAACAATAAAAATTGTATTATTTTATTGTTTCCCTTCAACGTGACTTTACCGAAAGAGCTAAAAATATGTTCTACCTTGTTGATTGCGTTCACATAAATGTTTATTTTCATTTTCCACAAATCTTAAATATTGTCTTAAGACACACGAATCACATGTGACAAACAGAGGAATCGTCGAATGCCCTGGACCTTTGTCATTTACGCTGCTCGGCGTGAGTGAACGGCGCGACGCGGTGAGTAACTTCCCCCCATCCCTGCCCGTGTCTGCCGTGCTCCCGTGTCGATCGCGTGCAGCGAAGGTTCCCCGACTTCTCGTACATCACGCAGAACGGGCGGCTTACGGATTTCCTCGACTGCGTCATCATCAGGTAGTGCCGGTGATCTGGGCTACCACACTTCCGCCGTCACTATTTGCGGTAAAAGCGTGGCGATCCAGAGGTCCTGCTGCTGCTACTGGTGGTAATGGTGTTCAGTGGTTGCGGTGGTGATGACGGTTGTGGTGGTGATGATCGCATTGGTTATGATGGTAATGATCACGGTTGTGGTGGTGGCAAAGTTGCAATCATTACATTATGTTACCCGCATGGCCAGCGACCACATGCCCAAGCAGCTTCTGTTCGGCCTGATATGAGGGGGTTTATTTGGTGCGGCACAAGCTAAATCGGAGGTGGGTTGATGCTAACGGTACCTGTGATGGTGGTGATTCCGATGGTTGTAGCCCTGGTTATGGTTGTATCACTGCTGTTGCGGCTGCTGCTTTTGAGTTGCTGCTGCTGCAATTACTTGTGCTGCTGCTTCTGCCGCTGTTTCTGTTGTTGCTTCTGTTGCTGCTGTTCGTGACGCTGCTGCCACTGACGCATTTGATGATTTCGATGGTGTTGCTGCCGTTGCTACCGCCTCTCTCTATGCCGCTGCAGTCTGCTGTTTGCTTCGATGTTGCTCATTCGTACGTTTTTCTGCTGCCACTGCTGCTTTTACACTGCCGCTGTTGTTCATACTGCCGCTGTTGTTCATATTGCTGCTACGTGTCACGGATGCTGCCGGTAATTGGCAAGTTTGCGCCCCCGCCGTCTGCACCCAGCCACTTCCACCTGGACCACTGTGGTGCCCTGCCATACATGTCGGAGATGGTGGGCTACGACGGGCCCATCTACATGACCCACCCGACCAAGGCCATCTGCCCCATCCTGCTGGAGGACTATCGCAAGATCACGGTGGACAAGAAGGGCGAGACCAACTTCTTCACCTCGCAGATGATCAAAGACTGCATGAAGAAGGTGGTGGCCGTCAACCTACACCAGAGCGTGCAGGTGAGCAGGGACACACGCACGGCGCTCTGTCTGTCCATCCATCCATTCATCTGTCCATTCATCCATCTGTCCTTCCATCCATTCATCTGTCTATCCATCTGTCCATCCATCCATCTGTCCATCGATCCATTTGTCCATCCATTCATCTGTCTATCCATATGTCCATCCATCCATCTGTCCATCCATTCATCTGTCCATCCATTCATCTGTCCTTCCATCCATTCATCTGTCTATCCATCTGTCCATCCATCCATCTGTCCGTCCATCCAATCATCTGTCTATCCATCTGTCCATCCATCCATCTGTCCGTCCATCCAATCATCTGTCTATCCATCTGTCCATCCATCCATCTGTCCTTCCATCCATTCATCCATCCATCCATCTGTCCATCCATTCATCTGTCCTTCCATCCATTCATCTGTCTATCCATCTGTCCATCCATCCATCTGTCCATCCATTTGTCCATCCATTCATCTGTCCTTCCATCCATTCATCTGTCTATCCATCTGTCCATCCATCTATCTGTCCATCCATCCATCCATCTGCCCATCCATCCATTCATCTGTCCTTCCATCCATTCAGCTGTCTATCCCTCTGTCCATCCATCCATCTGTCCATCCATCCATCTGTCCATCCATCCATCTGTCCATCCATCCATCTATCCATCCATCCATCTGTCCATCCATCCATCTGTCCATCCATCTGTCCATCCATCCATCCATCTGTCCATCCATCCATCTGTCCGTCCATCTGTCCATCTATTCATCTGTCCATCCATCCATCTGTCCATCCATCTGTCCTTTATCTATTAACCCGTTTATTAATTAGTCTATTTGTCTGTCTGTCCATTCGTTCGTCCGTCCGTTTGTCCATCAGTCCGTCCTTCCATTCGTCAGTGAGCTGGAGATCAAGGCGTACTACGCGGTGTGTGTTGGGGTGTGAGTGTGTGGTGAGAGGTGAGTGTGTGTCGGGGTGTGTGTAGTGAGTGTCTGGTGAGTGAGAGCTGAGGGAATCATGCTGTATAGCTTCACCAGGTGGATGACGAGCTGGAGATCAAGGCGTATTACGCTGTGTGTGTGGTGAGTGTTTGGTGAGTGTGTGGTGAGTGTGTGGTAAGTGTGGGGTGAGTGAGCGGTGAGTGTGTGGTGAGTGAATCGTGCTGTTTATATCCTCACCAGGGGGATGACTAGCTGGAGATCAAGGCGTACTACGCTGTGTGTGTGGTGAGTGTGCGGTGAGTGAGCGGTGAGTATGTGGTGAGTGAGCGGTGAGTGTGTGGTGAGTGTGTGGTGAGTGTGTGGTGAGTGTGTGGTGAGTGTGTAGTGAGTGTGTGGTGAGTGTGTGGTGAGTGAGTGGTGAGTGAGTTGTGAGTGTGTGGTGAGTGAGTGGTGAGTGTGCGGTGAGTATGTGGTGAGTGTGTGGTGAGTGTGTGGTGAGTATGTGGTGAGTGTGTGGTGAGTGAGCGGTGAGTGTGTGGTGAGTGTGTGGTGAGTGAGCGGTGAGTGTGTGGTGAGTGAGCGGTGAGTGTGTGGCGAGTGTGTGGTGAGTGTGTGGTGAGTGTGTGGTGAGTGAGTGGTGAGTGTGTGGTGAGTGAGTGGTGAGTGTGTGGTGAGTGAGCGGTGAGTGTGTGGTTGAGTGAGTGGTGAGTGTGTGGTGAGTGAGCGGTGAGTGTGTGGTGAGTGTGCGGTGAGTATGTGGTGAGTGTGTGGTGAGTGTGTGGTGAGTGTGTGGTGAGTGAGCGGTGAGTGTGTGGTGAGTGTGTGGTCAGTGTGTGGTGAGTGAGCGGTGAGTGTGTGGTGAGTGAGCGGTGAGTGTGTGGTGTGTGGTGAGTGAACGGTGAGTGAGTGGTGAGTGAATCGTGCCGTGTGTTCCCGCCAGGTGGATAATGAGCTGGAGATCAAGGCGTACTACGCTGTGTGTGTGGTGAGTGTGTGGTGAGTGTGTGGTGAGTGTGTGGTGAGTGTGTGGTGAGTGTGTGGTGAGTGTGTGGTGTGTGGTGAGTGAACGGTGAGTGAGTGGTGAGTGAATCGTGCCGTGTGTTCCCGCCAGGTGGATGACGAGCTGGAGATCAAGGCGTACTACGCTGTGTGTGTGGTGAGTGTGTGGTGAGTGAACAGTGAGTGAGTGGTGAGTGAATCGTGCCGTGTGTTCCCGCCAGGTGGATAACGAGCTGGAGATCAAGGCGTACTACGCTGGACACGTCCTGGGAGCCGCCATGTTTGAGATGCGCGTGGGGCCCGAGTCGGTGGTTTACACGGTGCGTGAGGTCGTAATGGCCGTGTCGGAGATTAAAAACTTACTTATACAAAAATTATTTTACCAAGTAAGGCCTCGCTGAGATTTGTATAGCTCTTTCTTTTCAGAAGCGACCTGGCCACAAATGATAGCTCAACGAAGTGGGCTCATCATCATCGTGTGGAAATTTATAGCAGCCAAATGCTGTGAATGCATGCAAACCTTGATTCAAGAACTGGGGTTTGGTGTATTTTCTCTTGAGGAAGATTCCTAATGGCCATGCCATTGACACTGACACAACATCATTGAAAATCTAGTTTCAAAGTCTCAGACTCGATTTGCTAATGGCAATCTCAGGGACACTGTTAAATACCTCGCTTGGTATGCAGGAGATCTTGGATTTGATCCATACCCTTGACACCTGTATATTTTGGGTTTGCGTGTCTCTCTCCCCGTGGTCATGTGGATTTTTCTCCGGGTCCTCCCGTTTTTCCCTCCACATATGGAATCAGGATGCGTTTAGAGTATTTGGCTGCTATACATTTCCACACGATGATAAGCCACTTTGTTGAGCTATCGTTTGTGATCAAGTCACTTCTGAAAAAGGCTCTACAGCTCAGTGGGCCTTACCTGGTAAAATTTTAAAAAGTTTAGTTTTCTTTAGCAGTTCCAAGCTTCTGGGTTTTAGTCCTAGAGCTGGCTGTGTCTCAGCTGTGTCTGAGATTTCCTCGCTGAATAAAAGGCAGTGATATCATTATCATATCAGCCTTCTACACCTTCTGCAAAGAGTGTTTGTTGGGGGTAAGCAGTAGTGTAGCGGTTAGCGCTACGCTGCGCTACGAACACGGAAACCCGAGTTCGTTTCCTGCTCACGGCTACCAACACCGGTGACGATTATCTGAACCGGTCCTGGGCCTCTCCTAGGTCGACTCAGCCTCAAACGAGTACCTGGTGCGATGTGTAGTAAACATCGCTGCTGAGGAGATAAAGGCGGCCGGGCGTGGTGCTGGCCACCCACCCCCTCGTGTGCCGTGCCGGCCTTCATAGGTGCTCGCTAACAGCACTTGACCCAAAAATTGTTAAACCTATATGGGGGATCTTTGTCTTTCTTTTTGTTTTGTGTGTTTTTGCAGGGAGACTATAACATGACTCCAGACCGGCATCTCGGGTACGACGGCGCACACTCTTGTTAGATCGCTTAAGTTGATCGAAGTCCACGTGTAGCGGGGTGGAATCATAAGATATTGAATGGGGAGGGAGAGGGATTGTGCAGTGTAGCGGTTGGCGCGGCTGCGCTACGAACCCGGCGACCCGAGTTCGATTCCCGCTCGCGGGCACCACCGCGATGGAGTACCCGAACCGGTTCTGGCCCTCCCTGGCGTCGACTCGGCCTCGAGGGTGTTGCCCGGTGCGGTGAGAAAACACCGCACCTGGGGAGACAAAGGGTGTTGCCCGGTGCGGTGAGAAAACACCGCACCTGGGGAGACAAAGGGTGTTGCCCGGTGCGGTGAGAAAACACCGCACCTGGGGAGACAAAGGGTGTTGCCCGGTGCGGTGAGAAAACACCGCACCTGGGGAGACAAAGGGAGCTGGGCATGGCGCTGGCCACCCGCCGCTTCGTGTACCGCTTCCGGGCTTCATTGGTTGGTGTGCTGTTCGCTAGAAGCAGTTGCCCCAGCTGTCTGGTTAAGGTTATACGGGGGATCTTTGCCTTGCGCACCCGGGTGTGCGTGCGTCTCTGCGTCGGTTTAACGCGTAGGCTTCCGCGTCTGCGCGTCTGCGCATGCGTGTTGCAGCGCGGCGTGGATCGACCGCTGCCGCCCGGACCTGCTCATCAGCGAGTCGACGTACGCCACCACCATCCGCGACTCCAAGCGCTGCCGCGAGAGAGACTTCCTGAAGAAAGTGCACGATACCGTGGAGAAGGGCGGCAAGGTCAGCGCCACGGGCAGTGGCCACGGGGGACGGAGATGGGGGGCAGGCGGTAGAGATTGAGGGCAGGGGGTAGAGATAGGGGGCAGGAGGTAGAGATAGGGGGCAGGGGGTAGAGATTGAGGGCAGGGGGTAGAGATAGGGGGCAGGGGGTAGAGATAGGGGGCAGGGGGTAGAGATAGGGGGCAGGGGGTAAAGATAGGGGGCAGGGGGTAGAGATTGGGGGCAGGGGGTAGAGATTGGGGGCAGGGGGTAGAGATGGGAGCAGGAAGTTCGATCTTTAACACTCTGGAACACGAGGGGGGAATGTGGTACCGCAGGGCCACGTCACCAACATTTTTTACACACACACGCACACACATGCACAAAGACAAAGATCCCCTGTATAGCCTTAACAGACTGTTGGGGCAAGTGCTCTTAGTGAGCACCTATGAAGGCCGGCACGGCACACGAGGGGGTGGCTGGCCAGCACCGTGCCCAGCTGCCTTTGTCTCCCAAGTAGCGATGTTTACACACCGCACCAGATACTCATTTGAGGCTGAGACAACCTAAGGGAGGCTCAGGACCGCTTCAGATAATCGTCACCGGTGTCGGCCGTGAGCGGGAATCGAACTCGGGGGCCGCCGGGTTCGTAGCGCAGCACTAACCGCTAAACCACTGCTCTCCACGCACAGACACGCACAACAACAACAACAACCGCCATTTGCCACTAAGTGGCGGTGACGTCACCACGACGCTTGTGCCAGGCTATGTGCACCCTGAGGCCACGTGAAGACAGACACGCACGGACACGAACGGACACGCACGGACACGCACGGACACGCACGGACACGCACAGTCTCTGCCACGCTTGCTCGGCGTCGTTGTGACCACTCGGTGATTGGCTCGAGCGGCGCTCCCTAGCAGTTTGCTGTGTGTGCCCTCCGCGTGGCGGGGTAGGTGCTGATTCCGGTGTTTGCCCTCGGCAGAGCTCAGGAGCTGTGCATCCTTCTGGAGACGTTCTGGTGAGAGGCTCTGTTCGAACCGCATCATACAATCACACCATCGCAACATCATACAATCACACTATTGTATCATACAATCACACCATCGCAACATCACACAATCACACCATCGCAAAATCACACAATCACACCGTCACAACATCACACAATCACACTATTGTAACATCATACAATCACACCGTCGCAAACATCACACCATCACACTATTGTAACATCATGCAATCACACTTGTGACATCATACAATCACACTATTGTAACATCATACAATCACACCGTCGCAACATCACACAATCACACTATTGTAACATCATACAATCACACTATTGTAACATCACACCATCACACTATTGTGACATTATACAATCACACCGTCGCAACATCACACCATCACACTATTGTGATATTATACAATCACACCGTCGCAACATCACACCATCACACTATTGTAACATCATACAATCACACTATTGTAACATCATGCAATCACACTATTGTAACATCATACAATCACACCATCGCAACATCATGCAATCACAACATGACACAATCACAACATCACACCATCACCATTGCACCAATGCACAGTAACATCATACTAACACACAGCGCATCGCACCGCACCATCACACCAACACACAGCACATTGCACCAATACACGGGATGCTCCACACGTTTTCAAGGCTTATGATGGGAGGTAGTGTGGTAAAAAAAAAATGCATTGCTGTTGGATGAATATTTGAGCGCACTGTGAAACTCTGCGGGCTTAATGTTGCAGGGCTCACGAAGAGGAGGGACATGTGTCAAATGGTTGAGTGCGCGCCTTGGTTAAAGTCGCTTTACAAATCCAAGATATAATAGAATACAGGCATTCCCCGGGTTAAGGAAGACCCGGCTTACGGAAATCCGACTTTACCGAAATGTTCCCATGGATCGTGTAATAAAAAAAAAATCCATTCTGTGTGGGTAAATGTTAGCGTTGGTTACGTGACCGCAGGTAGTGCAGCGCGGTGAGGCTACGGATGAATACAGTGGAGCGAGGCGTAAGGCACGGTTGGCTATGTAAGGTCAATGTGCCAGTCTCTGTGTCTCTATATGGAGTCTGTGGGTGTCTGTGAATCAATGGGTCTCTGTGAATCTGTAGTTTCTATGTGAATCTGTGGGTATATATGTGAGTGGGTCTCTGTGTGAATATATGGGTCTCTGTAAATCTATGGGTCTGTATGTGAGTGGGTCTCTCTGTGAGGAGTCTATGGGTCTCTGTAAATCTATGGGTCTCTATGTGAGTGGGTCTCTCTGTGAGGAGTCTATGGGTCTCTGTAAATCTATGGGTCTCTATGTGAGTGGGTCTCTCTGTGAGGAGTCTATGGGTCGCTGTAAACCTATGGGTCTCTTTGTGAGTGGGTCTCTCTGTGAGGAGTCTATGGGTCTCTGTAAATCTATGGGTCTCTATGTGAGTGGGTCTCTCTGTGAGGAGTCTATATGGGTCTCTGTAAATCTATGGGTCTGTATGTGAGTGGGTCTCTCTGTGAGGAGTCTATGGGTCTCTGTAAATCTATGGGTCTGTATGTGAGTGGGTCTCTCTGTGAGGAGTCTATGGGTCTCTGTAAATCTGTGGGTCTCTATGTGAGTGGGTCTCTCTGTGAGGAGTCTATGGGTCGCTGTAAATCTATGGGTATCTATGTGAGTGGGTCTCTCTGTGAGGAGTCTATGGGTCTCTGTAAATCTATGGGTCTCTATGTGAGTGGGTCTCTCTTTGAGGAGTCTATGGGTCTCTGTAAATCTATGGGTCTCTATGTGAGTGGGTCTCTCTGTGAGGAGTCTATGGGTCTCTGTAAATCTATGGGTCTCTATGTGAGTGGGTCTCTCTGTGAGGAGTCTATGGGTCTCTGTAAATCTATGGGTCTCTGTAAATCTATGGGTCTCTATGTGAGTGGGTCTCTCTGTGAGGAGTCTATGGGTCTCTGTAAATCTATGGGTCTCTGTAAATCTATGGGTCTCTCTATGTGAGTGGGTCTCTCTGTGAGGAGTCTATGGGTCTCTGTAAATCTATGGGTCTCTATGTGAGTTGGTCTCTCTGTGAGGAGTCTATGGGTCTCTGTAAATCTATGGGTCTCTATGTGAGTGGGTCTCTCTGTGAGGAGTCCATGGGTCTCTGTGCGAGCCATCGATGAATTGCTCTGACCTCCCCCATCCCCCAACCGCACGGGCGCAGGGAGCGCATGAACCTCAAGGCGCCCATCTACTTCTCGACGGGCCTCACAGAGAAGGCCAACCACTACTACAAGCTCTTCATCACCTGGACCAACCAGAAGATCCGCAAGACCTTTGTGCAGCGCAACATGTTCGAGTTCAAGCACATCAAGGCCTTCGACCGCTCCTACGCCGACAACCCAGGCCCCATGGTGAGGGATGAAGGGCGGAGGTGCAGGACCGCCGGGAAGGGGTTTAGGGTTCTGCGGTGGCTAGGAGATGTTAACTCTCTCGCCTGGTATGCAGGCAGTCGTGGGTTCGATCCCAATCCTGACGCCTGCTGCTGTATATTTGGAGTTTGCGTGTCTCTCTCTCCCGCGGAGATGTTAACAACCTCGCCAGGTATGCAGGCAGTCGTGGGTTCATTCCCGATCCTGACGCCTGCTGCTGCTGTATATTTGAAGTTGGTGTGTCGCTCTCTCTGTGGTCGCGTGGATTTCTCTCTGGGTCCTCCGGTTTTCTCTCTCCACGTTTAGAATCGGCATCACGCGTTTTTAGAGTATTTGGCTGCTCTTATAAATGTCCACATGATGATAAGCTAATTCGTTGAGATATCATTTGTGATTGGCAGGTCGCTTCTGAAAAAATATTTACATAGCTCGGTGGGCCTTACCGAGTAAAATAAAAATAGTTAAATTTAGTTTCCGCGGTTCCTCGGCGCGCTCCGGGTTCTTCCCATGTGGGATCTCTCCGGCTCAGTTCCTGTCAACCCCTTATCACAGACAAATTCAGACCTTATTGGTCACCCCGTGCCCTTATAAAGCTCAACGTTCATCCTTTAAACTCCCATCACAAGGAGAGAAACACAAACAAATAGACAATGATTGTTGTTGTTGCCCGTAGTGAAACGGCTGTACGCCGTTTGGACCTGAAAACTCAATTTCCCTGTACAAGAGTACGGGGGGCGGGGGGGTAAACCGTGTTGGTTGTGACAGGTACACCGTTTGAATCCGCGCTCGGGAGAGATGTTAGCGGTTAAAGGGGGAGGTCTTCACCCAGCAGTGGATCGATCACGGCCGTCTGTGGCGATCGGCGATTGGTCGCCGTGCCTGTCCACCGGTGTCCACCCCCCCACTACCCCCCCACTACCCCCCCCCCCCACCACCCCGTGTCACGGCGCAGGTCGTGTTTGCGACACCCGGCATGCTGCACGCGGGCCAGTCGCTGCACATCTTCAAGAAGTGGGCGGGCAGCGAGAAGAACATGGTGAGGAGGTGGCGGAGAGGTGCTGGAGCAGGGGGAGGGACAGACCATCATCATCATGGTCGTCATCGTCGTCATCATCGTCTACATCGTCGTCATCATCGTCGTCACCGTACTTGGTGTCGGCGTCACGGCTGTCGTCACTTACGATACGGTCATCATCGTCGTCGTCGTCGTCATCATCGTCATCGTCATCATCGTAGCCAAAATCGTCCGTGCCACTGTGATCTTTGGCTTCGTCGTCATTGTCACCACCATCACCACCGCCGTCTTCTTCATCGGCACCACCAGCCACCGTCATCGTCACCTGGCAGAACCAGAATCTTTATTGATGCTGGAGGAATCCGATGAGCTATAAAGCTCTTTTTCACAGACGTCCAGTAGGGGCGGGTCAGAAAGTCACAACAACAAACAGTACACAAACACGATAGGAGTGGAAAGTATGGGCATGCTAAACAAGTAAATAAAATACATAAAGTGCATCGATTCCTGCCGATTTTTCAACACTAAATGCAAGCAGCAAAACATCAACAACAGTCCCACAGCACACTAAGACAATCCCTCATTCACAGTCCCTCAATTACATTGCACGTAAACATTTTACTTTCGATACAAGGAGGCCAAGGATCATTTTCATTGTTACCAACCTTAATCGTCACCACCACAGTTATCAACACCATGATCACTGCCACGGCCATCAACACCATGATCACTGCCACAGTCATCAACACCATGATCACCGCTACAGTCATCAACACCATGATCACCACCACAGTCATCAACACCATGATCACCGCCACAGTTATCAACACCATGATCACCGCCACAGTCATCAACACCATGATCACCGCCACAGTCATCAACACCATGATCACCGCTACAGTCATCAACACCATGATCACCGCCACAGTCATCAACACCATGATCACCGCTACAGTCATCAACACCATGATCACCGCCACAGTCATCAACACCATGATCACCGCCACGATCATCAACACCATGATCACCGCCACAGTCATCAACACCATGATCACCGCCACAGTCATCAACACCATGATCACCACCACAGTCATCAACACCATGATCACCACCACAGTCATCATCACCATGATCACCGCCACAGTCATCAACACCATGATCACCGCCACAGTCATCAACACCATGCTCACTGCCACAGTCATCAACACCATGATCACTGCCACAGTCATCAACACCATGATCACCGCCACAGTCATCAACACCATGATCACCGCCACGATCATCAACACCATGATCACCGCCACAGTCATCATTACCGCTACCACCATCCTCGTCACCATCATTGTCGCCACTACCATTATCTCCTTCACCACCACCACCAAAAAAAAAGATCCCCCATATAGCCTGAACTGGGGCAAGTGCTGTTAGCGAGCATCTATTAAGGCCGGCATGGCACACGAAGGAGTGGGTGGCCAGCACTACGCCCGGCCGCCTTTGTCTTCCCAGTAGCGATGTTTACACATCACACCAGGTACTCATTTGAGGCTTAGTCGATCTAGGGGAGGCCCAGGACCGGCTCAAATAATTGTCACTGGTGTTGGCCGTGAGCGGGAATCGAACTCAGGTCGCCAGGTTTGTAGCGCAGCGTAGCGCTAACCGCTACACTACCACCAACCCCCATCATCGTCATCAGCAACATCACTATCACCACCGTCATCATCATAACCACCGCCACACCATCCTCATCGTCATCACCACCACCTCCGTTACCACCACCGACACCACCGCGTACTCTTCGCGTGTGCTCATGACCCCGTGCCGTCGCCGCTCCCCCCCCACCCCCGTCTCGCCCAGGTGATCATGCCGGGCTACTGCGTGCAAGGAACCATCGGCCACAAGATCCTGAGCGGGCAGCGCAAGCTGGAGATCGAGGGCCGACAGACGGTGAGCGCCGACGGCCGTCCCGAGTCACCGTAAACCGTACAAGTGGAACCTCGCGGCGCCCTCTGTCGCTCCACTGCCGGATGAAGGCCTCCCCCCATACCGCGACTCTCACGGGGGTTGTTCGACCATACTTCCCAAAGTTTGGTCGAGACTAAGATCTCCCCGTATGAAGGTCTGACAAGGCTATTCGGGAGATCTTTGCCCTGACCGTACTTCTACACGCTGGTCGGTGCGCGTTGGTGAAGGGGCGAGGGGACACCAGGACCGGTGGCTGGGAATCGGACCCGGGCCGTCGGGTTTGTGGTGCAGTGAGCTGACCACTGCGCCACCGCTCTGCCCTAGGATGGACACACGTGGCTGCGTCAAGGGGAGCGGTGGCGCAGCGGTTAGCGCGCGCCACCGCTACGAGCACGGCGGCCCGAGTTCGATTCCCGCTCACGCCCAACACCAGCGACGATTATCTGAACCGGTCCTGGGCTTCCCCTAGGTCGACTCGGCCTCAAATGAGTACCTGGAGACGAAGGTGGCCGGCCGTGGTGCTGGCCACCCACCCCCTCGTGTGCCGTGCCGGCCTTCATAGGTGCTGCTCGCTAACGGCAGTCTGCAAGGGAGTGGCCTTTGTCTTTTTAGGTGTAAAAGTGACTATGCGTATGTGCTGTACAGTGAGGGAAAAAAGTATTTGATCCCCTGCTGATTTTGTATGTTTGCCCACTGGCAAAGAAATGATCAGTCTATAATTTTAATGGTAGGTTTATTTGAACAGTGAGAGACAGAATAACAACAAAAAAATCCAGAAAAACGCATGTCAAAAATGTTATAAATAGATTTGCATTTTGATGAGGGAAATAAGTATTTGACCCCTCTGCAAAACATGACATAGTACTTGGTGGCAAAACCCTTGTTGGCAATCACAGAGGTCAGACGTTTCTTGTAGTTGGCCACCAGGTTTGCACACATCTCAGGAGGGATTTTGTCCCACTCCTCTTTGCAGATCTTCTCCAAGTCATTAAGGTTTCGAGGCTGACCTTTGGCAACTCGAACCTTCAGCTCCCTCCACATTTTCTATGGGATTAAGGTCTGGAGACTGGCTAGGCCACTCCAGGACCTTAATGTGCTTCTTCTTGAGCCACTCCTTTGTTGCCTTGGCCGTGTGTTTTGGGTCATTGCCTTGCTGGAATACCCATCCACGACCCATTTTCAATGGCCTGGGTGAGGGAAGGAGGTTCTCACCCAAGATTTTACGGTACATGGCCCCGTCCATCGTCCCTTTGATGCGGTGAAGTTGTCCTGTCCCCTTAGCAGAAAAACACCCCCAAAGCATAATGTTTCCACCTCCATGTTTGACGGTGGGGATGGTGTTCTTGGGGTCATAGGCAGCATTCCTCCATTTGGTTTCATCTGACCACAACACTTTCACCTAGTTGTCCTCTGAATCATTCAGATGTTCATTGGCAAACTTCAGACGGGCATGTTTATGTGCTTTCTTGAGCAGGGGGACCTTGCGGGTGCTGCAGGATTTCAGTCCTTCACGGCGTAGTGTGTTACCAATTGTTTTCTTGGTGACTATGGTCCCAGCTGCCTTGAGATCATTGACAAGATCCTCCCGTGTAGTTCTGGGCTGATTCCTCACCGTGCTCATGATCATTGCAACTCCACGAGGTGAGATCTTGCATGGAGCCCCAGGCCGAGGGAGATTGACAGTTCTTTTGTGTTTCTTCCAAATGCAAATAATCGTACCAACTGTTGTCACCTTCTCACCAAGCTGCTTGGCAATGGTCTTGTAGCCCATTCCAGCCTTGTATAGGTCTACAATCTTGTCCCTGACATCCTTGGAGAGCTCTTTGGTCTTGGCCATGGTGGAGAGTTTGGAATCTGATTGATTGCTTCTGTGGTCAGGTGTCTTTTATACAGGTAACAAGCGGAGATTAGGAGCACTCCCTTTAAGAGTGTGCGCCTAATCTCAGCTCGTTACCTGTATAAAAGACACCCGGGAGCCAGAAATCTTTCTGATTGAGAGGGGGTCAAATACTTATTTCCCTCATTAAAATGCAAATCAATTTATAACATTTTTGACGTAAGCTTTTCTGGATTTTTTGTTTGTTATTCTGTCTCTCACTGTTCAAATAAACCTACCATTAAAATTATAGACTGATCACTTTTTTGGTCAGTGGGCAAACGTACAAAATCAGCAGGGGATCAAATACCTTTTTCCCTCACTGTATGTCCTTGTGTTTGTCTGTGTGCTTTGCGTCTGTGGGTTGTGTGCCCATGTGTGAGTGTGCTGTGCGTGTCCTGTGTGTGTGTGCTATTTGCATGTGTACTGTGTCTGTCCGCATGCATGTGCTGTGTGTGCTTGTGTTGTGTGTCTGCGCGTGTGTGTGTTTATGTGCATGTATGCGTGCATGCGTTTGTGTGTTCGTGTGTCTGCTTGCATGTGCTGTGTGTGCGTGAGTGTGTCTGTGTCCGAGTGTGTGTACGCTTGTATGTGTGCGTGTGTTGTGTCCGCGTGCGTGTGTCCGCGTGCCTGTGCTGTGCGTGCGTGCGCGTATCCCTGTGCTGTTTGTTGTGTGCCCGCGTGAGTGTGCTGTGTGTGTGTGTGTGCTTGTGTCTCCGTGCGTGTGTGCGCGAGCAGCTGGAGATCAAGCTGCAGGTGGAGTACATGTCGTTCAGCGCGCACGCCGACGCCAAGGGCATCATGCAGCTGGTGCGCATGGCGGAGCCACGCAACGTACTGCTGGTGCACGGGGAGGCCAAGAAGATGGAGTTCCTCAAGCAGAAGATCGAGATGGAGTTCGGTGCGCGCACGCACGCACGCACGTGTGTGGCTTTGTCTTTGGGGTAGTGGGGAGCGGTGGTTCAGCGGTTAGGGCGCAGCGCTATAAACCCAGCGACCCCGAGTTCCATTCCCACTCGCGGTCAACACCAGTGACCGATTACATTATCTGAACGGGTCATGGGCCTCCTCTAGGTCGACTCAGTCTCAAATTATTACCTGGTGCGGTGCGTTAAACATCCCCACTAGGGAGACAAAGGCGGCCGGGCATGGTGCTGACTACCATACCCCCTTGTGTGCTGTGTCCACCTTCATAGGCGCATGTGTACATACGAGTGTTTGCGTCCGCGTCCGTGTATGTGTGCATGGTTGTGTATGCGTGTGTGCACGTGTGTGTACTCAAAAACAACCTCCTACCTCGTGGTGCTTGGATGGCAACGTTGTGGTGGACAGTGCCGTGGGGGGAGGGCCAATTGAGATTGGCCTTTCCCTTAATGGTGTCTGTAACCACCACAGCGGCAAAATGGGGGCTTTGGATGGGTGCAAGCGGCTGGTTACCCCTCCTTCAATTAACTACCATTAAAAAATGTATTAAGCTTGTGCCGGAGGCCCCGGGGGTACAGGCGTCTATGACGTCTCCTGGCCAAACCCCAGGAGACTGAATCCTTACACTCGGGGCTCCTCTGGAAACAACAAAAAGCCACTACAGATGGCCACGTGGAATGTTCGAATGCGCACTGCGGAGGAGAAGCTGCCACTCCTCTGGCGGGAGCTGGACCGTTACTGCCTGGATCTCTGTGGTATTCAGGAGGTCCGGTGGACCGGCTCTGGCTCCTGCCACCTTGAGGGGTGGAGATTCCTCTACGCGGGGCAGGAGACTGCCAAACAACAGGGAGTGGCTCTTCTTCTGAACAAAAGAATGAAGGGGGCGTGGAAGCGTGGCGGTGAGGTGTGGGAAGCTGTAAGCCCCAGGCTACTTTGGGCTCACCTTCCCATCAACCAGAGGCGAGGAGTGGTGGTCGTGGTTACTAATGCCCCCACCAAAGACGAGCATACGTGGAGGGATGCAGGCAAGGCAGATGATTCCGATGCCTTTCATGATCCCCTGTCACAGGTGCTGGCTAAAGTAGTCCCTTGGGATAGAATCATCTTGTTGGGTGACTTCAATGCCCGAGTTGGTCATGATGCTAGGACCTGGTCTGGAGTGATTGGAAGACATGGACCAGAGGTCTGGAGTGATTGCAAGACATGGACCAGATCAGCTCAATAACGACGGTAGGAGGCTGCTAGATTTTTGTGCAGCCCATGGGCTTGTAATTACCAACATGCTGTTTCGGCATCGGCGCATCCACACAACATCATGGATACATGCCGGGTCCAAGCAAGAACATCTGCTGGACTACATAGTGACGGAACAGCGGATGCGGGCCCATGTCCTTGACACCAGGACTTACCGTGGAGCTGATCTGCCCACTGACCGTCGACTTGTCATCTGTAAGATGCGCCTGCCATGCTTCCACTCCGGTGGTGGGTGTACACCTAGGACCCCATTCAAACCCATTGTGGCATGGTCCCAGCTAGCTGATGAAAGTTGCAAGCGAGAATTTCATCATCGCTTGCGGCTGGGGTTGGCATCATCCCCCACTCCTCCTGATGTCGAGGGGAGGTTTAGGACTGTGGCTCATGCAGCTGCAATGGCTGCTTTGGGTACATGGTCCAGACCTTCTCAGATACTCTGCTGACAGAGGAGGTGTTTAGGCTGGCTAAGAAAAAAGCGACAGGCTCACTCTCATCGTCTACAGCATCCCACGTCAGAGAATGAGGAGGCTTACCGCAGCCTTCACTCGGAGGTTCGGAGAGCCGTGAGGTGCAAGGATGGGTGGTGGTCACAGGTTGCTGAGGAGATGGAGTCTGCCTCAGCGGCCCGCGATCACAAATCTCTATTTAACTCCATCAAAAAGTAACCTGCAGCGCCACACCTAGTACCATCATTAGGGGAAAGAACTGTGATCCAATCTCCGACCCCCAGGAACAGGTTTGCAGATTTGCTGAGCATTTTTGTGAGGTCCTAGGGGAGGGGAAATCCCTCAGCCAGGAAAACATCGTGGCACAAAGTGGGAATGACCCTGCTGAGGCTGCAGTGCCTCAAATATTGGAAGAAGTCACCCCCTGTGAGTGGCTGGCTGAGGCACTATCTGTTGAGGAAGTACTGTAGGCGATCCAGAGCCTGAGACCAGGAAAGGCACCGGGCAGAGATGATCTCCCAAGCGAAATGCTGAGGGAGGGTGGTGTTTGTGCACAGACTGCCCTACATGACATCATAACAACAGTCTGGACCACTGGACAGGTTCCGCAGGATTGGAAGGATGCCCTGACGGTCCCCCTCTTTAAGAAGGGGAACCGCACAGACTCTAACTACAGGGGCATCTCACTCCTCAGTATGCCGGGAAAGGTCCTGGCAAAGATTAATCAACATCGCCTTGCCAGGCATGCGGTTTCAGGAAAGGGCGGTCCTGCACAGATGCCATATTTTCTGTCCGTCTGCTACAGCAGAGGTGTAGGGAATTCCAACAAGACCTACATCTCTGCTTTATTGACCTGGTCAAGGCCTATGATACCGTCAGTAGGCCTGGGCTCTGGGTTGTTTTTCGTGCTTTCGGAGTCCCTGACCCGCTATTCACGATCATTAAGGACCCGGATAAAACTACGTGGCCGGGAGTCGGAGCCATTCCCTGTTCACTATGGGTTGTGACAGGGATGTCCTCTGGCTCCCACATTATTTAACATCTATTTAGACCACGTAGTTTGTGAAGCCTTCAATAGCTGTATCGGAGGAATTTCTATCCGGTACAGATATAATGGGAGGCTGATTGATGCCTGGGTGCGGTCAAGGTATGGCTCCCTATTGCTCAACCACGTTATGTATGCCGATGATTTGGTAATAGCTGCTCATTCAGAGGAGGAGTTGGAGACGCTGCTGCTGAGACTGGAGTGTGCCACTAAGAGATGGTGCCTTACCATCAGCCCCACCAAAACTAAGCACCTGCCTGGGTATTTTGTACCATCGGACACTCCATCCCCACAACTCCCAATTGGTGATAGGGCAGTTGTGGAGAGAGTGGAGAGTTTCCCATACCTGGGCAGTGTGCTCATGACCGGCTCCAGTTTGACAGTAGAGGTCTCACTCCGAATCAGGCATTATCTTTTAATCAGTTGCGTAACACTGTGTGGAAGCTACCTGGTCTGTCGTTCTGCAAGAGTCTTCAGGTCTTCTCGGCCACAGTCATTCCCTCTCTTCTCTTAGCGATTGTGAAACGTGGACCCCCCTAATGGAATATCTTCGCCGGTTAGAAACATTTTGGCTGGCCTGCCTACGATCCATCCTGGGTTTATCCAGGCTGGATTGTGTGCAGAGCTCACATATCCTTGAAAGATCTGGACAAAGTCCCATCGGTGAGCTCCTCCGGAAGGCAAAGCTGCGTTGGCTGGGTCATGTAGCCCACATGCCCAGCCACCGCATGCTGAAACAGCTTTTATTCGGCCGGATCGAGGGGGCTAAACGGCCGTGGCACGGGCTAGAGAAGAGATGGAGTGATGTGGTACAGGAAGACGTGGAGCTGAGTGGACTTGCCGATGGCCGGTACCAGCGGTGTCAAGATCGGCCTCTGTGGAGGAGGCTCGTGAAGGACGCTACCGGGCAGTTGGAGGCAGTCGCCCTCCAACAACAACGGAGGGCGGAGGAGCGACGCTCACAACAACGAGCGGATCGCCGGGTGGCTAAAGCACAGCAAGTTGGCACAGTCGGGGGCACAGGTGGTGCATCAGCCAGTCGTCTCAGTCATCTCAGTCAGTCGACCCGTGGCACCTGGGTCTGCCCCGTGACCTCCTGCCAGCAGGCTTTCGACACTTCACGCGGCCTCAACGTGCACATGGCCTGGCACAAGCGTCTTGGTGACGTCACCGCCACTTAGTGGCGAATGGCGGTTCTTGTTGTTGTACGCATGTGTGTGTTTGTGTACGCGTGCGTGCGTAGGGATCTCGTGCTTCATGCCGGCTAACGGGGAGACGTGCTCCCTGCCCACGTCGCCCAGCATCCCCGTCGACATCTCGCTCGGCCTGCTCAAGCGCGACGCCTCGCTCGGTAACCACAGAGGGAGCTCCCAGAAACCTCGCGCGAACCACTGCCCCCGTAACCCATCGGTGACCTTCACCGATTCAGAACCCTGGCACTAACCACGTCCCCCGTACCCCATCGGTAACCTTCACCGACTCAGAACACGAAACTTAACCCTATCGCTACCCATAGCACTAGCACTAACCCCAACCCGTCACTCGCACGAGCCTCAATGCTTAACCCATTGCTAGTTCTGTGGCCCTAACTGAAACCCATCCCTAGCACAAGCCTTACCCTTAGCAGTGATTCCGATACTAACCCAAACCCTGGCACTACTCCTTAACCCAATCGCCTGCTCCTTCATCACTTGTGTAGCCCCTGACGCGACACAAAACCCAAACTCTCGTGCTAACCCGTAACCGTAATCCGTAGCCCCGAACTCGCGACCCTTTAACCCTGACAACCTTCCCATAACTTCAACTCCGGCTCTGTCCCTCTCGTTAACATTACCCCCTGTATGAGTCTGTGGGTCCTCTGTGTGGGTCCATCGCCTTGTGACGTGTGTGTGGGTGCGTGTGTGTGTGTGTGTGGGTGCGTGTGTGCGTGCGTGCGTGGGGGCGTGCGTACGTGGGTGCGTGCGTGTGTGGGGAGTGGTAGTGTAGTGGTTAGCGTGCTGTGCTACGAACCTGGCGACACGAGTTCGATTCCTGCTCACGGCCAATACCGGTGACGATTATCTGAACCGGTCCTGGGCCTCCCCTAGGTCGACTCAGACTCAAATGAGTACCTGTTGCTGTAAGTACACATTGTCACTGGGGAGACAAAGGCGGCCGGGCGTGGTGTTGGCCACCCACCCCCTCGTGTGCCATGCCAGCCTTCGTAGATGCTCGCTAACAACACTTGCCCCATCATTCTGTTAAGGCTATACGGGGGATCTTTGTCTTCCTGTGCATGGGTGCATCAGGGGCACCGCCGGACCCCAAGAGGCCGCGCACGATGCACGGTGCCCTCGTCATGAAGGACGGCGTGAGCCCCGCACCCAGCGTCGCACACACGGCCAGCACACACACACACGGCGACCACACACACACACGGCGACCACACACACACACAGCGACCACACACACACACGGCGACCACACACACGGCCACCGCACACACACGGCCACCACACACACACACGGCCACCGCACACACACACACACGGCCACTACACGGCCACCACACACACACACGGCCACCACACACACACACGGCCACCACACACACACACACGGCCACCGCACACACACACACGGCCACCACACACACACACACACGGCCACCACACACACACACACACGGCCACTACACGGCCACCACACACACACATGGCCACCACACACACACACGGCCACCACACACACACACGGCCACAGCACACACACACACGGCCACCACACACACACACACACGGCCACCACACACACACACACGGCCACCACACACACACACACGGCCACTACACGGCCACCACACACACACGGCCACCACACACACACACACGGCGACCACACACACACGGTGACTACACACACACATGGCCACCACACCTACACACACACACAGCGACCACACCCACACACATGGCCACCACACACACACACGGCGACCACACACACACACGGCCACCACACACACACACGGCCACCACACACACACACGGCCACCACACACACACACGGCCACCACACACACACACGGCCACCACACGCACACACACATGACCACCACACACACACACGGCGACCACACACACACACGGCCACCACACACACACACGGCCACCACACACACACACGGCCACCACACACACACACGGCCACCACACGCACACACACATGACCACCACACACACACACGGTGACTAGACACACACATGGTCACCACACCTACACACACACACACAGCGACCACACCCACACACATGGCTACCACACACATGGCCACCGCACGCACACCATACATACACACGGCCACCACACACACACACGGCCAACACACACACACACACGGCCACCACACATACACACACGGCCACCACACACACACGGCCACCACACACACACACACACATGGCCCACACACACACGGCCAACACACACGGCCAACACACACACGACCACCACACACACACACGGCCAACACACACACACACGGCCACCACACACACACACACACGACTACCACACACACACACGGCACACGGCCACCGCACACACACACACACGGCTACCACACACACGGCCACCACACACACACACGGCCACCGCACACACACCGCCGCGGGGAGCGTTGGCGTAGCGGTTAGCACGCTGCGCTACAAACCCCGTAACCCATGTCCGATTCCCGCTCAAGGCCAACACGAGTGACGAATATCTGGACCGTTCCTGGGTCTCCTCTCGGTCGACTCGGCCTCAAATGAGAACCTGGTGCGGTGTGTAGTAAACATCGCCACTAGGGAGACAAAGGCGGCCAGGCGTGGTGCTGGTCACCCATCCCCTCGTGTGCCGTGCCGGCCTTCATAGGTGCTACTCGCTAACAGCACTTGCCCCAACATTCTGTGTGAGCTTCCCCATCCACTTACCTCCGGTCATCATTGCAGCAGCGGCTTTTGGCTAACCATCGAAACCAAAGACGGTCACCGCATCGCTTTCAGACGCGGTTCTGCGGCCCGTCTGGGATGCTCTCATGATTATTAGGAAGCCACTAGGAGCTGAACACTTTTTAAACCATCTAGATTGCAAAGCTAATTTCTTTAGTGCTGTTTTTTGTGCTTGGTTTGCTCTTCTTCCCCCGCACCTCCGATTGGCACAGTTGGCTACATACGGTGTGAAAAAAGTTCAACACACTTACATATTAACTTAACTGCTATTTTTTATGCTACCAGGTAAGGCTCACTGAGATTTTTAGCTCGTTTTAAGAAGCGACCTGGCCACAAATGATAGCTCAACAAAGTAGCTCATGACATGGAAATTTACAGCAGACAAATACTCTAAACGCACGATGTTGATTCTTAATGTGGAGGGAAAAACCGGAGAACCCGGAAAAAAATCCACGCGACCACGGAGAGAGAGACACGCAAACTCCAAATATACAGCAGCAGCAGCAGGTGTCAGGGTCGGGATCGAACCCACGACCTCCTGCGCACCAGGCGAGGTAGTTAACATCTCCTAGCCACCGTGATGATGATGAGAGAGAGACACCGCAAACTCCAAATATACAGCAGCAGCAGCAGCAGGCGGTCAGGGTCGGGATCGAACCCACGACCTCCTGCGCACCAGGCGAGGTAGTTAACATCTCATAGCCACCGTGATGATGATGAGAGAGAGAGAGAGAGACACCGCAAACTCCAAATATACAGCAGCAGCAGCAGGCGGTCAGGGTCGGGATCGAACCCACGAACCTCCTGCGCACCAGGCGAGAGAGTTAACATCTTGCCACGGCGACACCCTTGTCCCAGCAGTCTGTGTGGGCGACATAGACATGGAGGGGGTATGGGGGAATCTTTGTGTTTGTCTGTCGTCGTCGTGGCGGTCGCCGCAGACGCTGCGGCTGCTGGCGCCCGAGCAGGCGATGCGGGAGCTGGGGCTGAGCGAGCACGTGCTGCGCTTCACATCCACGCTGCCGCTGCACGACTGTGGCGGCGCCAGCGAAGCGGACACCATGCAGCGTCTCTACGGACACCTCAAGGGGTGAGACCAGCGAGCCACCGGCCGTCCACACCCACCACCACCACCACCACGGCCAGGAAAGATTTTCAGAGAGTCTCAAGACTCACTTTCAGGAGGGTCCTGCCAAGTGTTTTTTTTTTTGTAGCAGGCGGGGGTGCGGCAGGGGGGCGATGCTGCTGCTGTTTGTGATCCCGTGACCCTGTGCATCGTGGGTGTGCCTCGTGCGTGGCGCAATGGTTAGCGCGCCTCGCTACGAACATGCCAATCCGAGGTCGATTCCCGCTCACGATTACCTGAACTGGCCTTGGGCCACGCCCCCGTCGACTCGGCCACCACCCGGTGCGGTGCGCGGTAAACATCGCCACTGGGGAGACAAAGGCGGCCGGGCGCGGTGCTGGCCACCCACCCCCTCGTGTGCCGCCGTGCCGGCCTTCATAGGTGTGCCGCTCGCTAACAGCACTTGCCCCGACAGTCTGTCAAGGCTACACGGGGGACCTTTGTCTCCAACCTCCACTCTACCTCCCCCCCTTCCCCCGCCCCTCGTTGCCGTGCTGACACAGCATCCTGAAGGAGCACGCGGTGCAGCAGCTGGCGGACGGCTCCGTCATGGTCGAGTCGGTCCTCATCAAGAGCAGCGGCGTGCAGGACGAGGCAGCGGCTCGGAGCATGCTCGTGTCCTGGTCCTATCAGGTGCGCCGCACGCGTCCAACCCACCCACGCACCCACCCACCCACGCGCCGCAGTGCGTGGGTGCCTGCCAGAGTCACGCGCGAGTGCGTGTGGGCGATGATATCGTAGGGCACGATGAAGGATCGTTGCCTGAAACTTTAGTCGATCGTATTTGCTTTTGTTAAATGTTGTCGAGTTGTTAATCGTGGTTGTGCACCACTGCCCCATCGCAGCAGCAGCAGCAGACAACTCGGTTTGTGGGCGTCATCGCGGCTGTCCTGTGCGTGTGCCTGCACGCGCTGCGTTCCGTGCGTGTTCGTAGTGTAGCGGTTGGCGCTCTGCGCTACAAACGCGGCGACCTAAGTTTGATTCCCGCTCAGGGCCACAGACACCAGTGACGATGATCTGAACTGGGCCTGAGCCTGGGCCTCCCTTAGGTCAACCTGGTGCGGTGTGTAAACATCGCCACTGGGGAGACAGACGGCCAGGCGTGGTGCTGCCTACCCACACCCCCTTCTGTGCCTTGCCGGCTCGCCAACATCGGTGCTCGCTGACAGCAAGAGCTCCAACATTCTAAGGCTATGCGGGGGAATCTTTGTCTGTTGCGGTCCGTGTGTGCAGGATGAAGACTTAGGAAGCTATCTCATGACTCTTCTGAAGAAGGGGCTGCCTCCGAGCATCGGAATGTAACGCGAACGGTCCCAGCAGCAGCAACGGCGATAAGACTCGTTAAAAAAAAGTCGAGAGGCAGGGAAAAAAACCTTGTCCCTCACGGCCTCCGCCGCCAGCAGTTGTCCCGGTGTGAACCTCCGAGGTGCGTGGCCGCACGCCTGCGACCCATCGCCGTGGAAGCAAGGGGTTGGCGGCTCGCAGGAAGATTTTTGGAGGTCCGTAAACCTGCAGGGGCTGCGGCCAAGAGGAGGCGGTAGCAGCAGCAAATGGAGTCCTGAACGTGCTCATAAGCATCCCGGATTCTCTCTGGTTTGCTTCCACTTGGAAAACATTTCCTAAACAGAGGTTGTGTGCCGTCCTTCCAACCCGCGTTTGTTCTCGCGTTGAATTTCATAGTGACCTTACTCCCGGCCCCATGACATCACATTCTCTTTTAATGTCTTCACACATGTTATTTGCCTTGGTTGAAAAGGCTCACAAATTTAAGACCAAAAATGTCACCGAGAATCATCGTAACCTCACGGTTATGCGCAGACGGGAGAGCGGCAATGCATTCACGCTTTCAACCGCGTGGAAGACTCTGGAAAGTTAAGAGCCACAAGACTCTTTAGAGGCTTTCCGGGATAAACGACGTGGCTCATTTTTGAAAACATAAATTCCAAAATTAAACCAGTGCCATCTCACCAACTCCATCATTCCAGTTTGACCAAAGTGTTCCCTGTTCCGCACGCGAGCGTTTCGCGCACTGCGTGGCATTTGTTGTTGGGAGTTTCCCCGCAAAACGTGGTTGTGAAATCGGACGTGTGCCGGTGGGCGACGTGAAAATATCGCCACGCGCAGCTCGTGAGCAGAATAAAGGAATCTCAAAAGGCCGCCACCGTCTGTACTGAACTTGCGGTGAAAATCTGTGCCCCAGATTTGTTGATGTTTTATCACCCAACTATAAAAAGAAGCGGCAACCCCTCGCGAGGGGAGTGAACCTCCCCCTCGGTGAGATGTTAAATACCTCGCCTGGTAGACAAGAGGTGGGTTTGATGCCCAACTCTTGACCCCTTTATATTTAGAGTTTGCACGTCTCTCTCTCACCGTGGTCGCGTTGATTTTTCTCTGTGTCCTCCGGTTTTTACCTCCACATTAAGTACCAACGCGAGTTTTGAGTATTTGGCTGCGATAAACGTCCACGTGATAAGCCACTTCGTCGAGTGATCATTAGCGACCAGGTCGTTTCTAAAAAAATAACTACATAGCTCAGTGAGCCCTTACGAATAAAAAAATGTAGTTTTACCTGTGTGGCTGGCACTGGAGCCTGCGGTCCGATCGACTCCCCAGTGGGGGGTTTTAGTCGTGGCTCGCCACCCAAGACTCAGCGACCAAACATTAACGCGAGACCACGGGGTTGGCAAAACTGCAGGCTCTTTAAAATGACCCTCTCTCGCACTCACGTTTCATTGGCGAGTCGCTAACATTTTTACGGAATAAAAAAGGCTCGTTATTGTTTGCAGGACCCCTGCCATAGATATGAAAAGGGCTCGTAGACAAGACCTACCATAGGAACCTCGGACATTGCCATAGCGCAATTCTTAGAGGCACAGACTTGCACAGGACCCATAGACTTGCAGAGAACCCATTCATTCACATAGACCCACACAGGAACCTTTACACAAGACCCATATATTAATAGGACTCATTGATTTACACAAGGCCTATAGACGTAGCACAGGACCCCCTGTACTTGCAGAGAGCTAAGACCGTCTTAGAGACCCAAACACTTGCATATGACGCAGCCACTACCAGAAGACCCGTCTCCTAGGCTTGCACTGGGGCTGCATCTACTCGTAGGCTAAACACACAACTCACAGAACCCAAGGGCTTAGATGCAACCCACAGAGACTGCAACTCAAGTCACAGCGGGTAATGTACGCCAAACGAAATCTTCGCCCCCCGAAGTGTTAAGCCGCCTTTTTTTTTTCCAAGTTACATTCTTCCAAAAATCGCCCCAACCTTGGATCGCCCAACATCCGTCAAAAGTCGGGAGGTAGAGACCACCACCTGCGTATTTCCCGTCGGGGATAACGGTGGGCCTGGGGGCAGCGGCTGTCCGCGGTCAGGCCCAACGACTGAGTGGCAAAGGAGGGAACGCGCCTAACCGGGGAGGGGGGGGGGGGACAGGGGCTCGTTGCGCCAGAGCCGCGTGGATCGACCCCGGCGAGCGGCCCCCCCCCCACCAACCCCCATCACCACCCCCCGGGAAAGGCGGCGGCGGCGGCATAGGGGGAGACGCAGGGGGGAGACGGAGCGAAGGAAGACGACGCGGAGACGCCAGCTGGCCCGTAATGTTTATTATTCAGAGCACTGCGCAGCAACATTGGAGTATGACGCGGGCCAGACACGCCGTGCGGCCGCCTTACTACGGTCATGGGGAGCCGGCGGGGATCGTTACCCTCGCCGGCACGGTCCGCTCGCTCCGCCCACAACACAGGGGGGTAAGGGGGTGTGGGGGGGGAATTGTATCGATTACAATCGGCGCTCCTCTCTCCTCCTCCCGGTCGTGGTTAAATCTTTTCCTTGATCTCACTTTTGTCACGAGCGCGCGCACGGATGCACGCACCTCTCCCGACTCTGTCCGTTCTCTCTCGGTTCTCGACGACGCAAGAAACGTGACGGCCACCAACAACCACCACCCCCCCACACACCCTCCACCATCGTCGTCGTCTTCTTCCTCCTCCCCCGAACAGTAACATCCATACGGCTTTTTTTTTGGCCAAGTTATTCCTATCCGTCGTGGCGGGTGGCGGGTGATCGGCAGTGTTGGGACGGCGGGGTGGTGGTGGTGGGTGGAAGGGGGGAGGGGCGGACAGCGCAAGCAGCCAAGAGGAGCGCCAAGTCTTGGTCGAGTTCCGGCCACCGCATTCCAGACTAGCGCCACCGCTAAACCGTCGTCGCTTGCGAGAGGTCGGCAGCTCTAGCGACGGGGACCCCCACCAACCCTCACCCCCCCCCCCCCCCCCCCTTGATTCTGAGATTGCGAGGCGGTGGTTTCGGGGGAGGGTGTGGGAGGTTTAGACCACGCAACGGACCCGAGCAAACGTTTGTGTAGAATTTTTATTTTTTGTTACTTCTCGGCTTTTTTTTTTAAGGGGGGGGGGGGGGTGGGGGTGGGTGGGGACGGGGAGGAAAAAAAAACAAGTAAAAAGGCAAAGCTGTGCTAAGGCGTTGTGGCCAAAAAATGCTGTTGTCGACGATTACATTTTGCTCCTGTCTGTGCGCACGCACTCCACCTCGAGATCAGAAAACCGAGGGTGATCGAGTCACGGACGTCTGCGGTTCGTGTGGGGTTGGCGAGGGCCGGGTTGGGTGGGTGGAGCGAGCGAGCGGGTCGGCGAGTCTGCGTGTAGATACGAGGAGGAGGAGGGGGGGGGGGGAGCAGGACTTGATGGGACGCACCGATGGGTAGCGTCGCCTCGCTCCCCTTTGCCCCTTTGCCGGCGGCGCGCGGTCACAGCAGTGCTTGACCGGCGGCAACGCTGACCCCGCCGTGGGTGGTTGGTTCGAAGGAACAGGGCGAGACTGGAATGGGCCGAACACCTTCTAACGGGGTCCCTTGGCATCAAGAGCGCTCGCTAAAAAGAAAAAACCTCTGCTAATTTGTCTTCTCGTTTTCAGGAGGTGTGCGGAGGGGAGAGGCGGCAGGTTGTGTGTGTGTGTGTGTGGGGGGGGGTTGCTTTTTATATGGAAAATAAAACTAAATGTTTGGTTTGGGCCTCGATAATGTCGGTCGATCGCAGTGGTTTCTGTTATTTTAATAAACTTGTGTTGTCTTCTCTTGTTAGCATTCACACCTCCAATAAGCAAGGCTGCAGGGTCGGGGGCAAGGAAGACAGAGGGAAGGACACGAGCCCGCGCACACACGCACGCCAGTCCGTTAACCATCCGCTTCACACACGCACGCCAGTCCGTTAACCATCCGCTTCCCGCACCGTCTCGCTTCGTAGACGGCAAGGGAATGAACGTGCCTCGGTAGCGCGGCTAGGAGAGTGGAGGGGGGCGGGGGGAGGCTTTGTTCACAACGCTTGCATCGCGACGAATCGATTTAGTTAGCGGGCCGTGCGTCGCGTGCGGCCGGTCGGGCGCCCACAGGTTGCGATTTCGGATCGTGCGAATTGTGCGAATCGTCGGTGGTGAGAGTGGCGCTTGGGCCTGGCGGGTGCGCGACTCACCCACAACCCGCCTTATTTAGCCATCGCCTTGATGCCCACAGCGCTCTCCTCATTCATGGCGGACAGCACTGTGACCTGGAGACACGAGGACGACACCAAGAGAGGGGGGGAGTGGGGGGTCACACGCACGTCCAGTCAGAGATCCGTCGCTAGAGAGCACGTCTGTACGCTGGCGCGGGTGTTAGAGAGAGGCTGGTAAAGCGTTTCCCATTTGAATTAAATTGTCCTTCTCTTCACCCAAATCCAATGGCAGCTCTAAACCCAGAGTTAACTTTGAGTTTTACACAAGGGGTGGAGATAGTTGGCGCTAGTAGTTCGTGTGCCTCGCGATAAGGCTGGCCAGCAAAACACCCTGCCGTGACTGCTAACATGAACAATAATAATTCAATTCATAAACAGTGGCTTTTCATATCGGATCTCAAAGCACTGTACATGTAACAGCAGCAACACACAACTCGACATGAAAACAATTATACTCGAAACCATTTACTAAATTAACTAAAAGTGTAATCGGCGATAATGTCGCCCGTTAGAAGGGAGGGAGAAAAAAAAAACGTAGAATTTAAACTGGGTACGAGCCAAACATCCCAATGCTGAGAAATGACCTGTAGATTCGATTCAATTGGGATTGTGAATTGCAACATGGGTCCCCCCGAATGTTGAAACGTATCCCGACCCTCCTGAATGAGTCATGAAACTTGGCGTGGTTTTCATGGGTCGACAAGCATAATAAACCAAAACTTTGTATTTTACCAGGGTAATGTCCACCACCCAAGCTGTAGGGCTCTTGTTTGGAGAAGCCGCCTGGCTATCGCAAATGAAAGCTCAAGGAAAGTGCCTTGTCGTGTGAACATTTATACAGCAGACAAAAATACCATGAAAGGTCACTTAAAGGGATCTCGGAGGTAGCTCTTTGATATCCGCTTCGGTGGAGATTTACAAAATACAAAGGGCTGCACACACTGCCGCCCTGAAGTATCCGATAGCGGCCAGATACTCAAAACCCATGATGTTGATTCTAAATGCGGAGGGAAAGACCGGGAGGACCCGGACAAAACTCGCGACCACGCAGAGAGAGATACGCAAACGCCAAATATACAACAGGTGTCAAAGGGTTGGGGGGTCGAACCCACAACCTCCTGCATACCAGGCAAGGGAGTTAACATCACGCCAGCCCGTGACGTGCCACGAGAGGGTAATGTCCGTCGACACGCTCGGCGGTGCACCACGCCGTGTTTAGAGGGCAACCCGCGGAATGAGACACCACAGAGCTAGATCCGAGATTAATTCCAAGAGCCCCCCCCCCCCTCCTAGGCCGACACGATATACCCTTCCCCGCACGCTCTGCTGCTGGAGAGAACTCAACGCACGTTCGTCAACAACACAGAGGCCCTTGAAAGGAAAAAAAAATATATTTAACAGGCGACGTTTCAGGCAATGGCCCTTATATATAGCATAGCACTTTATGACTCGGACAGGAAATCAACAGAATCTACAGGGTAAACGGCCAAAGCTAGGGGATATAACGGCCAATTTTAAGGAGGCGAGTTGTCAAGACGGGACTTTGAAAGGCTCCCACCGTCTCATTAGCAAGGGGCCAAAGCGTTCCAAAGAGCCCGGTAGCTGCACTGCATCAAATCCCGTCACCCCTAGGGAACGAGCCTCGACCCTCCCAACGAAGATCTCAAGTCGGGTGGGGGGGTGGACGAGCAGGCAGAAAACAGCTAATGTGGCAGCAAGACGTTCAAGGGGGACACTTCTCTGGGGCGGGGTTCATGTCGCCAAGTTGGATGCGTGAAACGTCACCGACGCGAACGCATCTTAAGGGTGCTGTACAAATTAGGGGGCGGGGGGGGGGGGGCAACGTGGCGAGGGCCTGGGGGGGTGGGGGGAGTTGAGGGAGTCTCTACCCACACACATTGCCAATCGCATTAAGACTGCCCCGCGTACCCTCGCTCTGTATACCCCCCCCCCCTCTTCACGTCCGTTTTTAACGTTTCCATAACTCGATTTTAGTAAATTGTGCTGGGATCCGTCTAGAAAATTATCTGTCCCGACAGGCTATGGGTGACGTCCGTTGGCGTGTTTCTCTGCCCGCAACTCTGCAAATCAGGGCGTCTGTCTGTCCGTGCGTCCCGTCGGCGTCCGATGTGTCCGTCTCCGGGGTAGGTCTCCTGTCCGTGTGGGTGTGCGTGCTCTCTATGTCCCCCGCGTGTCCGTCTCTCCGTTTTTCCTTCCCATTCCGTTGCGAAACCGGAAGAATAACTCGGAAGTAAAGTAACTATCGGTACCGAGGCTTCCCACGCGGCCACGCGGGCAGGGCGTGCGCGGCACCGTCGGAGCGGAAGATGGCAACAGCCCCCACGTGAGCAGTCGCGACGAATGCCATCAACGCTGCGACCGAACATCGATCGATCATCGACCTCCCGTTCGTCTTCAGAGCAACAACAACAGCAGCAACACCACCGCCACAAGCCATTTCTACGAGTCACGCGAAAGAAAGTCTACAGGGCGGGTGTCAAGTCCTAGCGCGCCCGTCCGGTGCTCTCGCTGGCAACAAACGAGGCGGAGATCGTGCCGGGGGGCGGCTAAAACGCAGCAAAACGGTGTCAAGAGCGCACGTGGTGGCGAAGTGGCATCGGCCTGGTCGCCTCGCCGAGTTCACCCACAGTGCCTGGCGGGGGGGGGGGGGGCGGGGTTCTTGCCCCGTCAGCTCCACCGGCGGCATCGAGAGCTTTCCAACAGCTTGACGGGACGGGCCTCAACGAAAGGGCACCTAGCCTGGCACTATCTCGGCTGCCGGACCGACCGTGGAGCCCCCCTCCAACTCACCAGCATCTCCTCCCCGGCCTCGTGCTTCTGCTCGATTTCCTTGCCCAGCTCGCCCTCGGGCAGCTTCAGGTCCTCGCGCAGCTCGCCATTGTCCATGAGAAGGGTGAGGTATCCGTCCTGGATGCCAATCAGCTGTGCACGCACGCAAACACAACAACAAAAGATCACACCCCCCTCCCCCCATGTAAACCTCAGCAGACTTTCTGGGGCAAGTTTCCGTTCACGAGCAGCGCCCACGAAGGACGAACTGCACACACGAGGGGGGTGGTGGGGTGGCCCAGCGCCGCGCCCGGCCGCCTTTGTCTCTCCAGCGGCGATGTTTACTGCACACCGCGCCAGGTACCCATTTGAGGTGGAGTCGACCGAGGGGAAGGCCGAGGACAGGTTCGCATAATCGTGAACAGGCGCTGGCCACGAGCGGGAATGGAACCAGGGCCTCTGCCGCTCCCCGCAACAATGATCGCCCCCCCTTTAACAGACTGCACTGTCGGCGAGCACCTATTAAGGAACACGGGCGCAACGAGGGCGGTGATGATATTGCCGGAGCCACGCCTGGCCACCAAGCGTCTCTCCACAGTTTTTTTACCGCACTACACGCGGGCAAACCCGAGAAAAGCCACGACAGGAGCCGGCGATGACTTAGAGATCCCCGGTGGCAGGAGTGACCATCGCTGAGTGGGGGAAGAGGGTGAGAGGAGAGGCAGTGGCAGGAGTGACCATCACTGAGTGGAACAAGAGGGTGAGAGGAGAGGGAGTGGCAGGAGTGACCATCACAGAGTGGGGCAAGAGGGTGAGAGGAGAGGCAGTGGCAGGAGTGACCATCGCTGAGTGGGGCAAGAGGGTGAGAGGAGAGGCAGTGGCAGGAGTGACCATCACTGAGTGGGACAAGAGAGTGAGAGAAGAGGGAGTGGCAGCAGTGACCATCACTGAGTGGGGTGAGAGGAGAGGCAGTGGCAGGAGTGACCATCACTGAGTGGGACAAGAGGGTGAGAGGAGAGGCAGTGGCAGGAGTGACCATCGCTGAGTGGGGCAAGAGGGTGAGAGAAGAGGGAGTGGCAGCAGTGACCATCACTGAGTGGGGTGAGAGGAGAGGGAGTGGCAGGAGTGACCATCACTGAGTGGGGCAAGAGGGTGAGAGGAGAGGGAGTGGCAGGAGTGACCGTCACTGAGTGGGACAAGAGGGTGAGAGGAGAGGGAGGAGAGGGGAGAGGTGGCACTGAGGGGAGTATAAGAAAGGAGAATGGGAGGATGGCGGAGATGAGGTGAGCCGATGGAAGAGCAGGGGAGAAGGGAGATGATGGGAGGGGAGGGAAGTGACGGGGTGAGTAGGAGAGAGTAAAAGCAGAGTGTAGGAGAGTAGGTGAGGAGAGTGCGAGGGGGAAGGCGATGGCAGAGCAGCAGAGGAGAGGCGTGCGTAGTTGAGATTCCACGAGAGTTCGGAGAGCAGGAGGGGGGTGGGGGGTGGGGGTGAGTAGGGACGGCTGCGTGCCTGGTAGTCGTTGCGCTTGATGTTGGGCACGTCCATGTTGTGGGTGGAGGGGCAGATGTCCTCGTACTTCTTGCCGTTGAAGATGTCGATGCCGATCATGTGGACCTGCGTCCGCGTGTGGGGAGAGCGGAATCGAGAGGCGGTTAGACGGCCGGTGTCCCCCCGCGCGGGCGCGCTGGGCCGCCCGGCCACGCCGTGGCGGGTCGTGGGGAGGGGGAGGTTGAAAATCGCCATTCGTACCTTGGGCTTTAAAAACAACGGCGCGACTAGGCCTCTCTAATTAAAATAAACGGCCGAGCCGCGTCCCGAGATTCAGCGGTGAGCGGGGGGACGCCCCTGCAACTTGCCGAACGTCTCGGAACGGGAGAAAGGGTGAAGGCGGCAGGCGTTAACGTGGCCAACGTCGCCCGTTACAAATTGTACGCGATTCACACGAGTATGACCACCGCCCGCGCGGACTCCCCCCCCCCCCCTCAACCGATCCCGGGGTATAAAAAAAACTACGCGAGTCTAAAAACTAAACTATTAAAACTATATATATATTTTTTTCAACAGGTAAGGCTCCACCATAGCTATGCATAGCTCTTTTTCAAAAGCGACCCTGGCCACAAATGATAGCTCAACAAAAGTGGCTTATCGCGTGGAAAATTTACATCGGCCAAATACTCAACGTGGAGGGGAAAACCGGAGGAAGGACCCGGAGAAAAATCCACGCGACCACGGGGAGAGAGAGGGAGAGACACGCAAACTCCAAATATACAGCAGGCGTCAGGGTCGCGATCAAACCCACGACCTCCTGTACACCAGGCGAGGTAGTTAACATCTCATAGCCACCGTGATGATGATGAGAGAGAGGGAGACACGCAAACTCCAAATATACAGCAGGCGTCAGGGTCGCGATCAAACCCACGACCTCCTGTACACCAGGCGAGGTAGTTAACATCTCATAGCCACCGTGATGATGATGAGAGAGAGGGAGACACGCAAACTCCAAATATACAGCAGGCGTCAGGGTCGCGATCAAACCCACGACCTCCTGTACACACCAGGCGAAGGAGTCAACATCTCCTCGCCACCGTGGCGGCGCCCCCCCCGTTGCGACTGGCGACGACGGCACAGCCTCCCCCCCCCCGCCACGCTCACCTTGGCGTGGCCGTGTTTGCCCGTCTTGGAGGTGGACATCTCTACGATCTTGCAGGGGCGTCCCTTGAGGACCACGTATCCGTTCTTGCGCAATGCTGAGCACTGCTGGGGGAAGGTGGCCGAGGCGCCGGCGTCGCCGGTGTTGAAGTCGATGTCATGATCCGCCATGCCGTTGCCCAACTGTGCCGGAGGAAAAAAACGTTGTACTTATTATCCGTTTACTTAATTGGTTCAAGCCTCCCCGTGCCCATCGTGGCCCCACACTCCATCTGCCCGCAGCCGCCCACCGTGAAAACAGACGCCGCTCCTCTTCCATGCAAGCAGTTCCTTCTCTAAAACTATTTTAAAGCTATAAACTGTTTGTATTTTACGAGGTAAGGCCCCAGTGAGCTGCATAGCTCTTTTTCAGAAGCTGACCTGGCCACAGATGATAACTAAGTGGATTATCATCATGTCGAAAATTATAGCGGCAGCCAAACACTCTAAACGCACGTTGATTCTAAAAATGTGGAATGGAAAACCGGAGGACTTGGAGAAAACTCCACGCGGCCACGGGGAGGAATGGAGACACGGCAAAATCCAAATATAGAGTAGGCGTCAGGGTCGGGATGGAACCCATGACCTCCTGCATAGCGGGCGAGGGAATTAACGTCTCACAGCCACCATGGTTGCCCTTCCCTCCTTCCCCCGCTCTCATTTTCACCTCCCTCTCATCATTCCCCGCTCCTTCCTGCTGCTCGTCCTGAGCCATGCCCCCCCCCCCGCCCCTCTTTGTCTGGGGGGCTTCTGTCCCGGCAGCGTACCGCTCCCTTTCCCGTTCTCCCCTTCTTCCGCGGTTTGCCATGGGGTAAAAAGGTATTACAGTAGTAATAACAAGACAACTATTTGTGACACGCTCGACATTTGCTCAAAGACGAGCCGCGCGTGTGCCAAGCGCCAGTAAGAATAATCAGAACCGGCGACGTATCATTGCGGCTACTACTGCCAAGCAAGCGTTGAACTACTTTAGCACCCTTACGCAGCCAACTTTGGCTAATCGGAGGTGCGGGGAAGAACTAAAAAAAAAACACACAAAAAACTATTCTGAAGAAATTAGCTTTCAATTGCAATTAACCCTATCGCTAACCTTACGATAACCTAATGATAGGTTAGTGATATGGTTACCCATTTCCTAGTAAGCCACGTTGGTTCACACCAAGTGCCCCCCCCCCATTCCTCCACCTCCCCGACAAATGCCCAAACAAAATGAAGGCTAAATCTTGACTTGAAGCTTTCGTGACTGCAGGAATTCTGATTCCTTGGGTCTTTCGGTAAAGTCACGTAGATAGGTTCAAAGGAAACAACAAAAATAACAAAAAAAATACGTTTCGATCGCAACACAAGCGGTTGTCATCATTGCTTGTGTTGCCATCGAAACGTCGTAGTTTTTTTTAAATTTTCTTTGAACCCATCTACGTGACTTTACCGAAAGACCCAAAGAAGATAAAAAGCTGGTTCACTCATTCAAATGCGAATTGCCAAAGCTCCCTTGTCCCGATCCGAGAGTCATTGTACATTTTATTTTTTGCTTTCATCTCAACGGGTTTCTCGGCGCGGATTTACGAAATTCCTGCAGCGGACCGTCTTCACGCGACAACCCCGCTCCGGTTCCGTTTGCCGGCGGGTGGCAATTCCGCGTGCCTACGACAGGGCCCGAAGTCGGACTGTTTTTTTTATGTAACCCAGTTAAAAAGGAAAAGGGCTCAATGAGTTAAGTGTGTCATCCGCGAGGCTGGCCTCGGGGGGGGGGGGGGGGGGGTGGGCATTGCGGCAACAAGCGGCTGTATTTATGTTTATCACGCATCGTTTGGGCAGTATCGGGTGTCTTGAAACTTTACCAAGACGCTCCCCCTCCTCCCAAAATATTTAGCCCGGCTCTACCACTGGGCAGGGAGAGAGAGCGACTCTCCTGAAGTCTCAACGGAGCTCCCGATTGGTAACGAGGGTCACAGCGTCTCACGTACCCGGGAGGGTGACACGGCGCCCAGCGGGGGCCCGCAGAGGCTCGCGGTTCAAATCCAAAGGGCCACCCTGGTTATTATCGCTGCGTGTATGTACTGTGTGTTGAACATCTTTGGCACCGTACGTAGCCGACCGTGATAATCGGAGGTCCGGGGGGTAAGGACAACAAAACTAAACAACAAAAAGGCAGTTTTAAAGAAATGAGCTTTCAATCAAGATGATTTAAAAGTACAAAGCTCCGGAAGAGTGTTCCAGACGGCCGAGACGAGGAATCCCGTGACACCGTCCGTAAGATCGGGCCATCATCGTGCGCCGGGCGCGACATCACCGAATTTGCCAAACTTGAAAATCAAAAAAGAATTACCCCGAGATTGACTCCGACCCAACGTAACACACACACGGCGGTGACTGTCCCCCCACCCCCCACCCCCCCACGGCTGACAGACGAATGCCAGTTTGCAGTCACCTTGTGCCAACAGGGACAGCTACCACTGTGGGGGGGAGGGGTGGGTTGGCGCCATTTCAAAACGTGCCGAGGCGAAGGAGGCGCGATGCGGGGCGCTCTCCGGGACGCCCCGGCGCCGGGCGGTGTACACGGGAGGGCGCTACAACATCAGCGACAAATCGTCGTCGTTACCCTTCACAGACCTCCGCCACCACCCCCCCCAGACTAAATCTACCCCATGACCCCCCACCCAAAGCTAAACCTACTCTTGTACCCAGCAAAGCAAATACCGCAACTTGCCCCCCCCCCCCCCCCAACTCTCTGTGACCCCCCCAAGATGAACCCTGCTCATGGCCCCCCTCCCACTCCAAGACGAAATCTAACCCCCGGGCCCCGACCCCCACGGTGACTCAAAGACGGGGGGAGGGGGGGGGGGGGTCGGGCAAAAGTGCCATGTGGCCACGCCTGGGTGGGGGACGACTCGCAGCACCCTTTGGTCGCTTCGCCGCTCACGCTCGCCACTTCGTGAACCCCTCCAAAGTATTTGTGCTTGCTCAGCCGATTGACTCTGCGAAAAAGTGGTGGGGGTTGCCGGGGTGGGGGGGGGGGGTACGAGGTAGGAGTCTGCGTCGCTGGCACCGGCTCGGGGCCACGTGGGTGGCGCCGGGCCAAGCCTGCGGGACTCTTGCAGAGCCCGGGAGGGCCGCCATCCTCGTCGCCCTCCTCCCGCCGCCACCCGCCCGCCATCAGTGTCGCCATCGCTATCATCGTCGTCATTATCATTCGCTAAAACCACAGCAGCAGCACCACCACCAAACGGACAAATACCCCCCCCCCCCCCCTTATATAGCCTTAACACACTTTTGGAGCAAGTGCTGCTTGCGAGTGGCGCCGGCACATCACACGGGCGGGCGGGTGGGTGGCCATCACCACGCCCGGCCGCCTTTGTCTCCCGAGTGGCGATGTTTGCGATACATCGCACCAGTTTACTCATTTGAGGCTGGCCGAGTCGACCTAGCACCACCAACAAGCAAAGACAAAGACTAAGACCCCCCCCCCCGCCACCCCCCGGATAGCCTTAACAGACTGTTGGGGCAAGTGCTGTTAACGAGCAGCAGCACCAATGAAGGCCAGCACCATCACGCATCTCGACACCCGCATCACTCTGCCGTAGCACGAGCGGACATATCGGCAGCAACAATGCCACCAGCAATAGCCAACAGATGTACTGCCACTACGAATTCAAAGCATCGGCGATGTTACTTGCGGCAGTGCTAGCAACAGCACCACCACGAGTAGTGGCAGCGCGTCGGCATGAGCGGCAGCGACAGAAGTAGCAGTGGCGACCGTACAAAACCAGCAGCGCCAGCAACAGCTTCACCGCCAGTAGCAACAACGCTCGCAGGACACAAGCGGCAAGTATCAGCGCCTGCATCAGCAACGCACCGCCAGCAGTAGCAACATTCACAGCCTCCACCACCACCACAAGCAGTAGTGCCAACAGCAGCACAATTTCATCACCGCCAAGGCTATCAGTAGCATCACCAAGATAGTCAAAAGCAGCAGCGTTAGCATCGCTTACAACAACATCTGCAGCCGCAGCAGCAGCAGCATTACCACCATCTCTAGCAGCACAAAAAGTAGCAATACAATAAGCAGCAGCGTTAACATCATCATCAGCAAGACTATCAACCACCAGCAGTACGATAAATAGCAGTTCCATAAGCGGCAGCACAACTATCATCAGCAGCAGAATCATCAGCAGTAGCGGCAGCAGTTCCATCATCAAGCAATAGCACCATCACGATCAACAGCGCCCGTCAGCAGCACGAGAATTATCACCACCAGCAGCAGCACAATAAGCCTCACTCCAATAAGAAGCAGCGGTAGCAGCATTACCATCATCAGCACAAACAGCAACCACTACCAGCAGCAGCAGCAAAGCGCAGACGGCCACCTCCACGAACACACCGCTACCACGCCCAGCGGCCACGCCACGTGGTGTGCGCCCTGCCTCTCTGGCAGCACCGCGTTCGTTCCGCCCCACCCCCCCCCCCCTTTACTCTCTACCCCCACCAAAGACAAAGGTCCCCCCGGTATAGCCTTAACAGACTGTTGGGGCAAGTGCTGCTAGTGAGCACCTATGAAGGCCGGAAACGGTACACGAGGGGTGGGTGGCCACAGCACCACGCCCGGCCGCCTCTCCCCCAGTGGCGATGTTTTAACACACGGCGCCAACAACTCATTTGAAGCCGAGTCGACCTAGGAGAGGCCCAGGACCGGTTCAGATAATCGTCACCGGAGTTGGCCACGAGCTGGAATCGAACTCGGCTCGCCAGGTTCGTAGCGCAGCGCGCTGTTACACCACCGCTCCCCAAAACACGACACTAGCCTCCCCCACAACCACGACACCAGTGTGACCCACCACCGTGGTTTGCGAGTGGGGGGGGGGGAAGTGACCATAATATTAATAGCAGTGGCGGCGGCGCTTGCTGGTGACCGGCAGCGAACGGCAGTCGAGAGCGAGAGACCCTCGCCAGGATTTTTACTGCATCGTCGTCGTCGTCCGCGGGGCGAGGCCCGCGAGCGGGCGGGCGGACGCTGGGACTGCACCACAATTTAACGCTGCGTCGTGGTCCGTCCTCGGGTTGCCGTGTTTGTCTTGCGCTCATTATCAGCTCTTATGTTGCCCTCCTCTCGCAACCCACCCCCCCGCACCACCTACCACACCCCC